TGCCCGCAAGTCCCAGGAGGAGACTTGCGTTTCCCCCGCAAAGGTGCCTGAGACCCACGGCCGCTCGGTCACGCTGTGAGCGTGCGCCCCGCATGCACAGTCCCGGCCGCTGACTCTCGCTTTTTCGTTCAGTAGAAGGAACTTCTACCCTCCGCCAGAGCCCGCTGACCCCACGCCTAGCTCCCAGGGGTACTCTTAACCCCAACTTTGTCCCAACCCTTCAAGTTCCCTGAGCCTCCGCAGCCCCAGAGGATTAGACCTGCGGGTAAATCACCGGGTGGCAGAAGGCTCAGGTAAACTCCCGCCAGAGTCAACGACCCTACCTCAAATGCATTTTAGTCGATGAACTTCTATTTTGCCCAGTCTCACAATATTCTTCCCACCCCTACCCCCCTTCCCAAGTCTGTTTTTCTGGCTCTGGGTCACAGCCTCTTCGTGGACGGCCGATCCAGGGATCCAGGCCGGGATTTGCCGCCCTCCACCAGCAGCGTGTTCAGCGGGCGCGGGGGGGGGGGGGGGTTAGGCAGTGTTGGGTCCCTCAAGGGAGGGGGAGGATCCTGGGGGTCCTGGGGGTGCAATAAGCCCGGCACCCCCTCTCTGCTTCCAGCCACCCCGCCTCATCCTCCAGAACGGCTAGAGGGAGGGAGATAGGAGGGAGGTAAGGGGCAAGCCGGAGAGGAGCGGCGGCGCGCCAGCGGCTTGAGCGAGAAAAAGTTTTTGCAAAAGGAAAAAAAAAAAAAAAGTTTGCGCTTCTCGCGGGTGGTCCCGGCTTGCGGCCCGGCTGGCTGGGCCGGCGGGAGAGCTGGGGGCCAGGCTGGGGGGTGGGGGTGGCACTGAGGCTGCGCTGCCGCGGCCCTGTCCGCCCCCCTTCCCCACCGCACACCCCCCAACTCATACTTCTGCCCTGGACCGCGCATCCCAAGCCCTGCGCCCAGACGGAGGTGAGAAGGGGGGCGGGCAGGGGACCACCTGGGAGGGTGGAGGAGGGGGCCTCCGGGGTGTGCGTGGGGAGGGATGATGAGCTTCCGAGGGGGACCCTTCCCGGCCTAGGCTGCGGAGACCTGGGGGCGCAGAGGCAGGCACGCGGGTGGGAGAGTTATTAGAAAGTTTGGAGTATCTCCTACCCCCCACAACCCCGTGGGTGTCTCTTCCTTCTCTGCAGTTTTCCTGCTGACAGTCCGGGTGTCTCTGTCCCGGGCCCCCGAGGGTCTCTTTGTCCGCGCCACCCTCCTGGGGGAGACGCATCTCACTTTCTGGCCGGCTGCTTGGCCCGCCTGAGCTTGGCGGGGTGAAGCGGGAGCGCCAGGTAGTGTCTGGCGCGCCAGGCCGGAAGAGTCCGTGGTTCGGAAAGCAGGGACCCCGAAGGAGGGCGCCCCAGGTGGGGTGGTGGACTTTAGGTGTGTGCATGGGGACACAAACCTCAAGGTTTGGATTCGGGGAGCCTGCTGGGCTGGCTCGACCCCCAACTCTCCTCCCACACACATCTGCCAGTGACAGCTGCGCCTGCAGATGCGGGACCCAAAGAAAGCTGCCCAAGGTGTAGCCAGGCCTTAGAAAGCCCCCGTGCAATTTGGGGGGTTAGGGTCCCCGAGTCCCCAGGGGCGTGTGGGGCAGGGCGCTGAAGGAGGAGCTGGGGAGACCTTTGCTTGACCCTCTGACCTCGAGACCACCGGGGCAGCTGAAGCCGGCGACAGGGAGACCCCTACTGGGACTGGGCGGGACCACCGGCCGCCGCCGGCCTCTCCCTCCCGGCTGGCCAACATCCCCCGCCCCCAGCCCCAACGGGAGCTGCGAACCCAAGCCCCTCCTCTGGCTCGGACCACCCTGCCGGCCCGGGTTCCCGGGCTCGGAAGCCTCTTTCAGGCCCCTTGACCCCGAAACAATCCACCCTGGGCAGCCCAGCCTTGGGGATAGGATTAGGGAATGGGGGACCCCGCGGCGGCCGACTGAGGGTTTTCGGGAGACCGGAGTACAAGGGTCTTCCTTGGGCAGACCCTTCTATTGCAGAAGAGCAGGAGCTAAGGGCGCTTGGGGGTAGTTTTCCCTAGGGGGGCGGGGTCCCGAGACCCCCTCCTCTCTCCTCCGCCCCCCAACATCTCCCCGGCATCCCCGCCCGGCGGCGCAGACCCCGCCCTTGACGTCACTAGGGGGTTCCCGGGGGTCTGAAAGGGTTAACCCTTGGCAAGCCGGGTGGGGTGCCCAGGAAGAAATGCGAGGTGTTTTCCTCCTCACCCCCCCCCCACACACACACCTTATTTATTTTTCCTTATTTACCGGGTCACTTCTCTCCCCCCAAAGTTTGACGGATTCTCTTTGTCCCCCCCGGGGATCCCCAGTCTCCGGCGGTGCTCCCGGATGCCCTGAGAGAGGAGGAGGAGGGAAGCATGTCCCGCCGCTCACCCCCACCCCACACACGCTCGGCTCGCCCCGCCGGGCTCCCGGGCGGGCGGGCGGGGGAAGCGGGCGGGCGGCAGCCAGAGCCTGCGGCGGCGACTTGGGTGGGCCGGGGAGGCACGGGGGCGGGGAAGGCGGCACCGGGAAGGGGGCGGGGCCGGCTCCTGGGCGCTGCTGGGCAGCGGGGGTGCGAGGGGGGCGCTGCGAGGAGGGCGCGGGTTCCGGGGGCCGCGGCGGGGGGCGGGGGGCCCCGACCCCATCCCCAGAAAGCCGCTGGAAAAGTGGGCGGCCCCGCGTCAAGGGGAGACGTGGATGGGCCGCGGCACGCGTGGGCGAGGAGGGATGTCGCCCCGATTTTTCAACCGCGTCCTCTGGCAGTGCGGGGTTGGGGGGAGAAGAGGGCTGAAAGACCACCGGCTAGGCACGTTTGGGGTAGGGGATCTCTAGTGCTTGGAGGGTGGGGGGGGTCTTGGGTGAACCCGCCTGCTCTGCCTGGGTGAGTCATAGAGGAAGGAGGCGGGAGACGTGTCTTCCCCCCTCCCCATCCAGCTGCCAGCCAGCTGTGCCCCCCACCCCCACAGGAGTGCCAAGGCCGAGTTGGGGGGTCCTGGTTGCGGGGCCTGGAGCTCGGCTGCAAAAGGAGGAGTTCGGAGGGGTACGGCCCTGGCTGCGCCGCTCGGGCTGGGTCTCGGGGTCCGAGTTCCGCTCCTCCACGTTCCCCCGCCCTCACCCTAAATCCCAGCATCCCGGGATCACCCACCGCGCCGGCCGGCCCGCTCCCGGCCGGTCCCCACCCCGCCCCGCCCCGCCCCACCCTCGCTCCCGGGAGGTCGCAAAACGCGGGGTGGAGCACGACCGGGAGCCTGAGCAGGAACGCAGCCGGCGGCACCCGTGTCCTTCAAGACCTAAGCAGGGCTGCCTGATGAGTCTGTTTTTCATTCTCTTCGTGCCTTCCCTCAGAATTCTCTCCCTGTTCCCCCAAAAACCAAGACACCTAAAGGCTAAGCGGGCCGGGATCCAAGCCGCAGCGAACCACCTCAGCTGCGGTCCTTCATCCCTCACCGTCCTGGAAGGCTGCGGCTCACAAACCTTACCCTCTCCTGCTCAAAGTTTTCTGCCTCTGAGAGCTGCCCGGCTCCTCCGGGCTCCTCCCGTCCCCGCCAGCCAGTCCCTCTGCACTGTGGCGAGGGCTCCTCCTGCTGGATACTAAAGATACTGTAGGCGGGCTGTCTCCCTGGACGCAAGAGGGAGAGCAGGGGGTGGGAAGACAGAACCAGACAGCCGTGGGTTCAAGGACAGACCCCCGCAGAGTTCCTGCAGCCCTGCCCTCCAAACCGGCGCCCCCGTCAAAGCAACGGAGCGGAGGGCTGGTGGCATTAAAATCTTTTGAGGGCCTGGCTTGGTAGCCTACTGGCTAAAGTCCTCCCCTTTCACGTTGGGATCCTATAAGAGCGCCGGTTCTAATCCCAGCAGCCCCACTTCCCATCCAGCTCCCCGCTTTGGCCTGGGAAAGCAGTCGAGGGCCACCCAAAGCCTTGGGACCCTGCACTCGCGTGGGAGACCCGGAAGAAGCTCCTGGTTTTGGATTGGCTCAACTCCAGCCGTTACGGCCACTTGGGGAGTGAATCATCTGATGGAAGATCTTCCTCTCTGTCTCTCCTCCTCTCTGTATATCTGACTTTCCAATTATAAAAAAAAATCTAAAACAAAAATTTCTAGAAACTCGTATAGGCACCATTAGTCCATACCACTCACTATACATACACCGAACATCCCACCCACTTACTGAGATTTTGGCATTTACCCTTACCTTGCAGAGTGATGCTTATTTATTAATTCTGAGGTACACACACGCACACAACTTGCATCGAATGATTCACTCCTCCAACGTCCGCAAAGCTGGAATTGGACCAAGCCAATGCCAGTAGCCGGGAACCCCATTCAGTTCATCCACGTAGATGGCAGGGACAAAACTACCACTGCCCTCCAGGGGGAGCCCTAGCAGGGAGCAGAGCCCACGCTGGAAAGACTCAGCTCTGGGCACTCTGACCTAGCCCATGTTCAGGGGCTAAACTCTGCCCCTCCAAAATGCCCACCCCAGATGATGCCTTTATTTTCCTTTTTAAAAGCTTTATTTGGTTTTATTGGAAAGGCAGATTTACAGAGAGCAGGAGAGACAGATCTTCCATCCATTGGTTTACTACCCAAGTGACCACGAGGACTGGAGTTGAGCTGATCCAAAGCTAGGAGCCAGGAGCTTCTTCCAGGTCTCCCACACAGATGCAGGGTCCCCAGTCTTTGGGTCATCCTCTACTGCTTTCCTAGGCCACAAGCAGGGAGCTGAATGGGAAGTGGAGCAGCTGGAACAGAAAGCAGTGCCCATATGGGATCCTCACACTGGCAAGACAAGAATTTAGCTACTAAGCCATGGCATTGGGCCCGTGATGCCCCCTTTCAATTTGGTTTCCATGGCGGATGTCTCTGAGGGCCTCAAGGGCATGGAGTTCTGCCCAGGGCTCTGTGCCTGACGTGATATCACCGTCACCAATTCCCTCCATCCTCTATAACTCTTCCTTTCCCTCCGCAGTGCCCCCACTTGCTCCATCATGTTCAACTCGATGACCCCACCACCAGTTAGTAGCTATGGTGAACCCTGCTGTCTCCGGCCACTCCCCAGCCAGGGGCCCCCCAACATGGGTGCAGAAGGTCAGTGCACACACTCATGTACCATCTCCAGAAGGATCGGAAGCCCCATGCATGTCCCATGGGCTTGGCATTTGGGGTGAGGTCTTGCCTTATATGTCAACCATTCCCACATCCCTCACTCCAACCCTGTCTTTTCTAGGACTGTCTGGTCTACCGTTCTGCCCCCAAGCCAACCTCCTGTCAGGTCCCCAGAGTTATGGGCCTTCCAGAGAGACCAACAGCTGCCCCGAGGGTGAGACCACAGGCACTTCTTCCCTCTCTGCCCCTCTGCGACTTTGGAGGAGAATGGGGGAGGGTGGGGTATTAAAGGAGGATCAAGAAAAGCTCCCAGGGCCATGGAGGTGTCAGGGCGCAGCCAGATCACTGCTGATAGAATCAGTAGGACACAGCAAAGTCAAGAATCATCATCACCACCATCATTATTATTTGAGACACAAAAGAGAGTGAGTTCGCGCCCTCCGGTGCACAGCCCCAATGGCCAGAACATCTGGGCCTGAGCCAAGCCAATATTAGGAACTGGGGAATCTTTTTTATTTTTTAAGGTTTATTTTTATTAGAAAGGCAGATTTACACAGCGAAAGACAGAAAGATCTTCCATTACTGGTTCACTCCTTAAGTGGCGCCTTAGACTGCTCGGCCACCCTGACACATTTCACTCCCTAAATGGCTGCAATGGTTGGAGCTGAGCTGATCCAAAGCCAGGAGCCTCCTCTGGATCTCCCATGTGGTGCAGGGGCCCGAAGCTTTGGACCATCCTCCTCTGATTTCCTAGGTCATAAGCAGTGAGCTGGATGGGAAGTAGAATGGCTGGGACACGGACTAGTGCTTGTAAGGGGAGGATTTATTAGCCAATTGAGCCATTGCACAGGGCCCAGGAACTGGGGATTCAAGCCAGGTCTCCCATGTGGGTGGCAGTAACCCAATGTCACTATCGCTTCTCTGAATGAGCATCAGCAGAAGTTGGATGCTGGGGTGGAGCCAGCCTCAAACCCAGGCACTCTGACATGGTTGTGGGGGCACTTTAACCCCACATCCAGTGTCCACCCCTCAAATATTTTTATTTGCTTAGAATTGAGAATCAGGACCCATAGTTGGGTACAAAATGACTTGCTTCTTCACAATTTCTTTCTTTGTTTTTAAGATTTATTTAGGTATTTGAAAGGCAGTTACAGAATGGGGAGAGAAAAAAATCTTTCACCTGCTGGTTTACTCCACAATTGGCCAGAATATCCAGGGTTAAGCCAGGAGCCAGCAGCTCCACTGGGGTCTCCCATGTGGGTGCAGGAGCCCAAAGACTTGAGCCATCCTCCACTGCTTTCCCAGACACAATAGCAGGGAACTGGATGGGAAGTGGAGCAGCTGGGGACTTGAACCAGCACCCAGATGGGATGCTGGCACTGTAGGTAGCAACTTTACATAGACTCCACCACTTCTGTGTCCCCTGTCTCCTGCCCCAGGCCCACTCTTTCCTCCTCCCCGGAGTACAGTCAAGTTGGCCAAGAAGCGGGCACTGTCCATCTCACCTCTGTCGGATGCCAGCCTGGACCTGCAGACCGTTATCCGCACATCCCCCAGCTCCCTCGTGGCCTTCATCAACTCCCGCTGCGCATCCCCCGGAGGCTCCTACGGCCATCTCTCCATTGGCACCGTGAGGTGCAGGCAGCCCCGGACCAAGGGCCCCCAAGCCCCTTCCAAAGCCCACGAAAAGCCCTAGACCTCCAAGCCTGTGGAGTCACGGCACCCAGTGTCACCATCACTGCTCATTCCTTCCGGAAACCCTTCTGGAGACGTTTTGTGATCATCTTAAGTAACTGCTTTCTCTCCTCCTCCTCCTCCTCCTCCTCCTCCACCTCAGCCCCTCTCTAGGATTCTCATCCCAGATGAATCATCAAAAAGGGACCTCGCCCTCTTTTGGGGTCCAGCAGCCCTGTGGGCCCCATGACTCCACCCAGGGTGGGATGATGCCGCACCCTCAGGCTCGGGGACCCCTCCCAACCTGCCAGGTGAGAGTCCCCAAAATCACAACCTGATTTGCCCTAGCCCAGGGTGCAGGATGGCGGTGGGGGTTACAGGAGATAATGAAGGGGGTCGAGTTTGTAGTATTGGAAGAATGAAGACATATGGCTGCTGGGGGCTCCCTTCTTGGGCATTTAGGGCAGGACTCGCCCTTCCTTCAGCCCGCCTCCATTCCCCTCACCCTTACCTCTCGCCCCTGGGGACAGCTGAAGTCAGAACTGGACATGCTGGTCGGCAAGTGTCCGGAAGAGCCTTTGGAAGGTGACATGTCCAGCCCCAACTCCACAGGCACACAGGTAAGAGGAGAGAGTGGAACCTTTTACCTCTGAGAGCCCAAGGCCAACATGTGCTGTCACCTGAGGGACCCTCAGCGTGCCTCTCTTGCCCTAGGATCCCCTGTTGGGGATGCTGGATGGGCGAGAGGACCTGGAGAGGGAGGAGAAGCCGGAGCCAGAGTCTGTCTATGAGACCGACTGCCGCTGGGATGGCTGCAGCCAGGAATTTGATTCCCAGGAGCAGCTGGTGCACGTGAGCCGCAGGGGGTAACAGGACTGGCTGGCTGGAGCCTGTAGGAAATTCTGGGGGCCAGGGTGGGAGGGTTTGTGATTGTGGTTGTGGCTGGGTTCAGGGGAGGGGATCGCAGACTGAGTGTCCAGTTGGGCAGGTGGAAGAACGGAAGCTGCAGTTCTGCTTCAGAGAGCTGGCAGGGCTGCCCTGCAAGATGCCACATTCCCCCTGCCCCTTCTTTCCGGGATGCGGCTGTGGGTGTGAGGGAAGGAGAGGTCTCCTCGCATCTTGGAAGCATGGGGAAATCTAGGAGAGCTTCTGTCTCCCTCCCCAGCATATCAACAGCGAACACATCCACGGTGAGCGGAAAGAATTCGTATGCCACTGGGGGGGCTGCTCCCGGGAGCTGAGGCCTTTCAAAGCCCAGTACATGCTGGTGGTGCACATGCGCAGACATACGGGCGAGAAACCACACAAGTGCACGGTGAGCGCCCTCTCCCTAAGCCCAGGGTCCCCAAGGTGGAGCCTGAAGCAGACTCTTGCATTCGTGGGTCCATCCCTCTATAAACAAATATTGAGATCATTTTGAGCACAAGGGTTCTGATACTACAGGTTAAGTCAGCACATCCCACGTCAGAGAGCTGGTTCAAGTCCTAGGTGCTCTACTTCCAATCTGGCTTCCTGCTAACACACCTGGCAGGGCAGCAGGAGATGGCCCACATATTTGGGTACCTGCCACCCATGTGGGAGGCCCAGACGGGACTCTAGTGCCTTTGGCTTTGTCCCACCCTAGCTATTGCAAGCATTTGAGGAATGAACCAATGAATGGAAGATCTTTCTTTCTCTCTGATTTTTACAAATAAATTTTATTATCTTTTAAAAAAATATTTATGTATGTATTTACTTGAGAGATAGAATTACAGAGAGAGCAGAAGAGACAGAAAAAGATATCTTACATCAACTAGTTTACTCCCAAATTGGCTGCAACATCCAGGACTGAAACAGGCTGAAACCAGGAGCCAGCAGCTTCATTCAGGTCTCCCACATGGATAGCAGGGCCCCAAAAACTTGGGCCATCTTCTGTGGCTTTCCCAAGTGCATTGTAGCAAAGCACTAGATGGGAAGTGGAACAGCTGGGACTAAAACAAGCACCCATAGGGGATGTCATCACTTCACGTGGCAGCTGTAGTGGCCACAATGCCGACCCCTAAATAAAAATCACGCATACAGGGAAAGTTGCTCCGGCTTGACCAGGAGACGTTTAGAAGCTGCTTCTAGCAGCTTCTGTTCCCCAACCTCTTACCTGCTTGTCCTGTCACTCTTCTCCTTTGGGCCTCCCTCCCTTCCTCCTCTCCCCTTCCCCTTTTCCTCCTCACCTCTCCACCACCCTCACCTCGTTCCTGCCCCACTGGAATAAACCTGCTTGTCCTGTCCCCTGTCCTCCAGAAGACTCAGTGCTCTCCCAGCTTGGGTCCCCCATTGCATGCCCCTTTTAAGATTTAGGGTCCTCTTCCCTAGTTTGAAGGGTGTCGGAAGTCGTACTCCCGCCTGGAAAACCTGAAGACGCACCTGCGGTCGCACACGGGCGAAAAGCCATACATGTGTGAACATGAGGGATGCAGCAAAGCCTTCAGCAATGCCAGTGACCGAGCCAAGCACCAGAACCGGACCCACTCTAATGAGGTGAATGTCCTGACTCAGAGGACACCCCCAACTTGAGGTACCACCTCCAAGGGGATCCCCCAACAGAACCCCTTTAACACAGCACTTGCTGTACAGAGGTGAGTCCCTCTGAAATCATGGGTTTCCATGTGTACCCCTACATCCTTCCAGCCAGCCCAATGCTGACCTGGAGAGACCAAGGGTCAGAGAAGACCCCCCACCCTAATCAACCCCTGATTTTATGAGGCCTCCAGCCCCGTATCTCCTGCCTCTGTTAAGTCTGGGATGTTCATGCTTCTAACCCTCTTCCTCCAACCCTTCATCTTGCATCCCCACCCTCCTTTGATGCTGCTGTCTTCCCCAACTCCTGGTCTACTCACACCTTTCCCTACTCATCCACTCTCATCCCTTTGCCTCCTGCCCTCATTTGTGCACCTGACAGAAGCCATATGTGTGCAAGCTCCCTGGCTGCACCAAGCGCTACACAGATCCCAGCTCACTCCGGAAACATGTCAAGACGGTGCACGGGCCTGATGCACACGTAACCAAGCGGCACCGGGGTGATGGTCCCTTACCCCGGGCCCCAGCCCTTCCCACCGTGGAACCCAAGAGGGAGCGGGACGGAGGCCCCATCAGGGAAGATGGCCGACTGACAGTGCCAGAGGGGGCCATGGTGAGCACCCAGGCAACCCTGCCCCATCTCGCTGATTCCCTGGCAGACCCTTTCCACACCACCTGGCCCCTCCTTGGGATTCACTCGTGTCCTTCACACCAGTGTTGCTCCTTGGGTTACTCATTATCAAGGGAGTTTGGTGTTGCTCCCTCCCTCACCCAGTCCCTAAACTCAACACTGTTCTGGCATGTTTCACCTGCCCAGCCTGTGTGCACCTGCCAGCCACCCCTAGGCTGCCACTGTTGCCCCTGGGACACAGGTATCTACCCTCCTCTCACCCATAGAAGCCACAGTCGAGCCCTGGGGCCCAATCTTCCTGTAGCAGTGACCATTCCCCAGCGGGCAGCGCAGCCAATACAGACAGCGGGGTGGAGATGACTGGCAACGCAGGCGGCAGCACCGAGGACCTGTCCAGCCTGGACGAGGGGCCTTGTCCTGCTGGCACCGGCCTGTCTACCCTTCGCCGCCTGGAGAACCTCAGGCTGGACCAGCTACATCAGCTCCGTCCAGGGGTGCCCCGGGCTCTCAAGCTACCCAGCCTGACCCACACCGGTAAGATGTGGGTGATGGGAGATGACCTGCCCGGAAGCTGAGGGTAAGCATATCCCCTGGCAGAACTGCCCAGAATAGCAGGCACCTTTGCTCTCTGGTGATCAGAAACTCATTTACGATACAAAAAGTCTCTGATACCAGTACTGCTCCCTGAGATTGTGTAGTGCACAACCTATACAACTGTGCACAGTGGCCTGGACTTTGGATCTGCATGAGAGATGGAGCTGAGCAGGCAGGGTTAAGGAGCCTGTCCCTGGGGTGAAATTCCGGGGGCCATCTGACCACCTTGCTTCCTCCATCACTCATAGGTGCCCCTGGATCCCGCTGTCTGGGCCCCCCAGTCTCCCTTGACCGCCGCAGCAGCAGCTCTAGCAGCATCAGCTCTGCCTATACCGTCAGCCGCCGCTCCTCTCTGGCCTCTCCATTCCCTCCCGGCTCCCCACCAGAGAAAGGGGCATCCTCCCTTCCAGGCCTCACGCCTGCCCAGCACTACCTGTTCCGGGCAAGATATGCCTCTGCCAAGGGTGGTGGTGTCCCACCCACTTTGGCACCCAGCCTGGATCGGACCGGGGCTCTGCCTGCACCTCCTTGGAGAAGCCGAGCTGAGTACCCCGGATACAATCCCAATGCAGGAGTCACCCGGAGGGCCAGTGACCCCGCCCGGGCTGCTGACCGCCCTGCTCCAGCCAGGGTTCAGCGGTTCAAGAGCCTGGGTTGTGTCCACACTCCACCTACCATGGCAGGGGGAACGAGGAGCTTTGATCCCCACCTCCCAAGCTCTGTCTATTCTCCACAGCCTCCCAGCATCACCGAGAATGTCACCATGGATACTCGAGTCTTGCGGGAGGGACCAGAGGTTGGGACCTCCATAATGGCCAGTGGCTTGAACCCTTACATGGACTTCCCGCCCACCGATTCCCTGGCGTATGGGGGACCTGAAGGGGCAGCTGCGGAACCTTATGGGCCTAGAGGCCCAACAGGCTCCCTGCCTCTCGGGCCCGGTCCTCCTACCAACTATGGCCCCAACCCCTGTCCTCAACAGGTTTACCCTGAACCCGCCCCAGAGACATGGAATGAATTTCCTTCCCATCCGGGGCTGTACCCAGGCCCCAAGGCTCCAAGTGGGGCCTATAGCCAGTGTCCTCGACTTGAACACTATGGCCAAGTTCAGGTCAAGCCAGAACAGGGGTGTCCAGTGGGGTCTGAGTCCACAGGGTTAGCACCCTGCCTCAATACCCACACACATGAGGGACCCCCACGCCCACAGCCTCTGTTCTCCCACTACCCACAGCCCCCTCCTCCACAGTATCCCCAGGCAGGCCCCTATCCCCAGCCCCCCTCTGAGTATCTTCCTTCCGAGCCCAGGCCTGGCTTGGATTTTGACCCCTCAACTCATTCCACCGGACAGCTCAAGGCTCAGCTAATGTGTAATTACATACAGTCTCAACAGGAACTGCTGTGGGAGGGTGGTGGCAGGGGGGATGCCCCAGTCCAGGAAGCTCCCTACCAGAGCCCCAAGTTTCTGGGGGGTTCCCAGGTTAGCTCAAGCCCCACCAAGGCCCCAGTGGCCGCATATGGACCTGGTTTTGCACCCAGCTTGCCCAATCACAAGGCAGGTTCATATCCTACTCCCCCACAGTGTCATGACAGTTTTGCCACAGGGACAAACAGGGCTTCCCACAGGCCAGCGGCACCACCCCGGCTTCTGCCTCCCCTGCCAGCTTGCTATGCACCCCTTAAAGCTGGAAGTAGTAACCCCAGCTGTGGCCACCCAGAAGTGGGCAGGCTGGGAGGGGGTCCTGCCTTGTACCCTCCTCCTGAAGGGCAGGTGTGCAACCCGCTGGACTCTCTTGACCTTGACAACACTCAGCTGGACTTTGTGGCTATTCTGGATGAGGCCCAGGGGCTGAGTCCTCCCCATTCCCAAGACCAGGGGGGCAGCTCTGAGCTACCTTCCTCAGGGCCCCCTAACATGGCTGTGGGCAGCATGAGCGTCTTGCTGGGTTCCCTGCCTGGAGAGACGCAATTCCTCAACTCCAGTGCCTAGAACAGAGGGCCATGACCATCACACAGCCCTGTTTTGCTAAAGTGTGTCCAACCCTCTGGTGATGCTAAAGAAAGGGGTCGCAGCACCTGCATAGGATGCCACAGGGATGGGAGGGCTGGGCTGGAGGCTGTACATAGTCTGTATTATGTTATGGAGAGGAATTTGAAAATGACACTGTTTCCTGGTAATAAAGGAACTGCATCAGACAGAATGCCATTCCACACTGCTTCATGTGTTATCTCAGGGGAGGGTGGCCACAGGTAACAAAAGGTGCAGTTAATCCTCCTGTGTGTCTTCTGGAGCAGCTCCCTCACCCCACTGCAGACTCTTAGCTCAGATAGCCACTGGGAAGACAATTCAAAGTGATGATCTCCAAACAGGATGCCAAAAAGGTAACTCACAGCTAGCTGGACGCAGGTTTTCCTTCTTTGCCTTGTCTGGTCAGGGGAAGAGACTAGCAAAGTCGGTGAGCATCAGCTGCACGACCTGGCCGGGATACAGGGCATGGGCTGCTGGATCTGCAGTTTCCTGCTCCGGCCGAAACAGGGTGGGTCCAAAAACAATTCCCAGGTTGTGGGGCGTCATGCGATTCTTATCGGAGTGCGCTATCACCCTGTGGTAGAGGCCAAGGGCAACAGTGAGCAGGAAGCCACAGCAGTAATTCTGCAACACCCTATGTGGAACTGGAGGAACCAAGGAGTCTACGGATGCTCAAAGCCTTGGGATCCTAGACCTTGGGGCATAAGGATGGGTCAAGATGCCCTGCTTGCCCCACAACTGCCTCCTCCCAGACTCAGGGACATCCCCTAGAGTCCTCCCTGCTCATCACCTCAGATACCCCATCACTCAAATGATCACCCTCCTTTCAGCAGTCATGATTCAGAGTTAACCTGGCCAAAGCCTCGCCCAGCAGAAGACAGGGACAGAGCTCTCTTGTTTCTGTCATAGCATCCTTAGCCTTGTTGTCGCCTTTCCCGACTTGATGTTAATTTTCTGAAGTTTTTTTTTTTTTTCTTAAAAAAATTAATGGAGGAGCCACTACCATGGCTTAACTGGCTAGGCCCCTACATGCAAGCACCAGAATCCCACGTGGATGCTGGTTCATGTCCTGACTGCACCACTTCCCATCCAGCTCCCTGCTTGTGGCCTGGGAAAGCAATCGAGGACAACCCAAAGCTTTGGGCCCCTGCACCCGCGTGGGCGACTTGGAAGAGGTTCCTAGCTCCTGGCTCCGGATTGGCACAGCACCGACCACTGCGATCACTTGGGGAGTGAATCATTGGACAGAAGATCTTTCTGTCTCTCCTCCTCTCTGTATATCTGACTTTGTAATAAAAATAAATAAATCTTTAAAAAAGAAAAAACAGTGGAAGATGATCCAAAGCCTTGGAACCATGCACCCTCATGGGATCAGCTTCGGATCAGATCGGCTAGCACCGATGTAGCCCTTTGGGGAGTGAACCAAAAGATACAAGATCTCTTTCTGCATCTCTTTCTGTCTGTAAACCTGCCTTTCCAATAAAAATAAAATATACCTTTAAAAACAAAACAAAATGGGCCCAGCACGGTGGCCTAGTGACTAAAGTCCTTGGCTTAAATGTGCTGGGTTCCCATGTGGGTGCCGGTTCTGGTCCCAGCAGCCCCACTTCCAATCCAGCTTCCTGCTTGTGGCCTGGGAAAGCAGTCAAGGACAGCCCAAAGCCTTGGGACCCTGTGCTCGCATGTGAGACCTGGAGGAGGTTCCTGGCTCCTGGCTTCAGATCGGTGCAGCACTGACCATTGTGGTCACTTGGGGAGTGAGTCATCTGTTTCTCCTCCTCTCTGTATATCTGACTTTGCAATAAAAATAAATAAAATAAATCTTAAAAATAAAATAAAATCATTATAGAAAACCCATGTTATGAAAAAGTCTTATGCATCAAAACATTTCACAACACAGTAAGCATGTTTTAATTCCTTTTTGCCCATGAATTTTGTTTTCATTTATTTGGAAGGCAAGGAAGCAGACAGAAGGATGAAGCAGAAAGAGCTCCTCCCTCCACGGGTTTACTGGCTGGGGCTAGTTCAGGAGAAAGCCTGGAGCCCGGAACACCAAGTGGGTCTGCTTGTGAGTGACAAGGAATAAAGCACTTGGGCTATCTCCACCCACCTCTACTTATGGTATACCTTAGTAGGAAGTGGAGCTGGGACTTAAAGCAAGGCCTTCTGTCCCCAGCGGTACCCTTAACCTCTGCACCAAACACCTTCACCCAATTTTCATCAATCTGTCAGAACCTCCTTCTCTCCTCCCTCTGTGCACTGAACTTAGGTGCGTCCCTGCCTTCACCCCAGCAAAACCCATTTCCTGTGCATGCTCCTTCACCTCCCACCACCCTTCATGAGCAAAGTTAAAGTTGTTCAGGCTTCCCACCTGCATAAATGCTCCAGGAGGTACCGTAGAGTATCATGGTTAGGCTTGGGCATCGAGCCTATTAATTCTCGTAAGTGAGATAGACGCTGCTCTGCTTCAGGAAGTGCTGAAGAGGGGATAAAGACAGATCATGGGAGGTTAGGAGGCTGACAGAATAGGGTGGTAAATTCACTACTCATTCTTAGGCCTGGGAAAACCATCATTCATCTATCACAGCTTTCTTGGAACCCAACTGCAGCCTCAGGATTCAGTTCAGCTCCCTAAACATTCACATAGCAGCACATCTGGAGTTGGCATGTGAGGCAGTCTGCAGTTACCTCTCACCCCTGTGTCTGAAATGGGACAGAAAGTGTCAAGGAACTGTGATATAACAACCATGTCCACCCCACCTGCCAAGTGGGTGTTGGAATCAGAGCTCCCAGCTCTTACCCAGGGAAGCCCGGAAATGGGGCAGCAGCAGCGAGGGCACCAGGGGCTGTGGCAACTCCCGGAGGAAAAGCTTGAGGGCTCCAGTAACCACATGAATGTCATCCCACTCAGCACTGTCCAAGTCCAGTCGGCCTTCTGCAGGCAGAAGGTGCTTTAGAGCTGGGTTCAAGGCCACAAGAGGCCAGCAGAGCTCAGGAGCCCAGCTAGACCTCAGGAATAAATACAAGGAGAGGCAGCCCAGAGGAGCAAGCCAGCCAAGGTAGGGATGAGGACACACCTCCCAGGAACAGGGAAAATGGGGAGCGGGGGTTGGAGGCCCTCCAAGGAAGTACCTTGTCCTGGCTGTTCTGGGAACATGTACCTCCCGTCAGAGGTGACCGCCCGCTCTGCAACACAAACAGGAGCTCAGATGCACAGCTCCAGCCAGGTCTCCCAGTTAGCCAGCTCCTGGTTCAGGTACGGCTCACCCAAGGTTCTCAGGCATGAAACATGGTCAGAACCACCACTTTGCCCACCCCACACACCCTTCTCACCTCGGTCCACCAGGAAGCGGAGTTTCTGGACCACAGCCAAGTTCCCACTCACACGGTAGATGCCATCCACATCTAGACCTAGGAAAAGGCAGGGAACAGACAGGGAGGAGCCTGAGAACCTGGATGGGCAAAGCAGAAGGGCTCTGCCTGGGGAAGAGGAAGACACAAGGGTGGCTCCTGGAAATGACCTCTTTTGTCCACAGCGGCAACGCAGAGTCGCACAAAACTAGGGACTGTGTCCCCTTCCCGCTGGCACAGTGATTCCAATTGGCAGCCGAATACCTGGTCTGTAAAGGAAAAGGAGGAGGTGGAAGGCTAGTGCCAGCACAGCCATTCTGGAAGCCCTTACAGGTCCTCCCCACACAGGAGCAGGAACGGGGCTGACTGCCAGCTGGGGCATGGGGTGTTGCCAAAAGGTTCATCACCCTACCCTGACCCCTAAACAACACTCAGGATCAATAGTCTCAGAAAATTTTGATCCAACTTTGGGAAGTGTAGGTGGTTCTAGTGTTCCCTTCCAAGCAATGGGCCCATGCCTACCCAAGTCAGGCATGGAATAGTGTTTGCAAAAGCATAAACACGCCAAGGAGCAGGGCTCCAGCCAGGTCCGGCAGGCTCACCTCGGAGCAACCCGCGCTCCTGCAGGCTTTGCAAGGGCGGTCTCTTGGCTATAAGCCTCTTTAGCTTGTTGCGTACTCGGTTCTGCTCGGCACCTTCGAGACAGCGACCTGCAGCAGAAGGACCAGTGGGGAGTTAAGGACCCTAGCAGCCAGGCCCTCCCTCCAAGTGCCGCCTGGCCCCGGTCCCGCCTCTTACCCGAACTCCGGCTGCCGCTCAAGCGCAGAAAAGGCCTGGACACCGGCTCCCGCTCCTCTTCATCATCCTCCCCGCCGCTCAACTCCCCCAGCTCAGCGGGACCTGAGCCAGACAGACGCAGCTCCAGGGGGTTCTCCCGATCCTGGTCATAGGGCAGAATGGATGGTGTTGATACAAGGAGACCCTGCCCCACCGCCTGGGGTCCTAAGTCCCGCCCCAGGCTAACCAGCGCTGGACACCATGCCCCCTAACCTCCCCGCCCCAGGCCCCGTGCTCTCTCCCTCCCATCTAACCAGCCGCTCGATGACAGCGCGCAGAGCACGGTGCCAGGCTCGCAGCTCACTCTCGTTGTCTGATTGCAGCAGGAACTCGTGGCCCGGGACTGTGCGAATCTAAGGGGTGAGAAACGGAGTGGGGGTAAGGGGGTGCGAAGAGGAAAGCTTCGCAAGGCGGCCAGCGTGGCTTTGGGGAGGCGCAGGAGGGCACTCACGTGCAGGACATTGCGGCGGCTGGACAGGTGGCGGCCGTGCGCCAGGGCTGCCCCACGCAGGTCCACGCTGCTTTCTGGCCGGCTGCCCGCGGGCCCCTGCCAATGGAGGTTGGGGGTGGGGGAGGAGAAAACTGAGTCCTAGAAGCGTTTTCCCTTGACCCGAGGGCTTCCTAGTGGGAAGCGTCTAAATTTCTGCCCGGAGCGGGTGCCTCCAACCCTCACCATGGGGCTCCCGGTGACCGGGCCCAAAGAAGCGCCTCGGCTCCGACACACTCACCCAGCCCGAGGAGGGCGCAGTCGGTGGCGGCTCTCGGTAAAACACTAGGCTGTTACCGGCTAACACCACCCAAGCCGGGCCCCAGTTCTTCCTGCGGGTGGGGTAAAAGATCAGGCTAGAATTGCCTGCGCAAGTGCGCTCTGGCCACATCGCGCTACACACTGCACCCCGCCCCCACAAACGCCCTAAGACTACCCGCCCCCCCTCCCAGACCGTCTACCTCACCTGAGTTTGCGTCCGCCCTGGGCAATCTTGGTCATGTTGAGCAAGCCTGATTTTTCCACCTCCTGGGGATGGGCCCGAGAGTGGTGACTGTAAGCCATCCAGTGCTCTCCCACCCCGCCCCACTTTCTCCCTTCCTCAGGATCTCTCAGGAACAAGTTCCCTTAAAGTTAGGGGCAGGGAGGGCTGGGTTATGGAGTATACTCAAAAAGAGGAAGACATTTTTGAGGAGCAGGAATGGTGGGGAGGGACGTAATTTGACATTGACAAAGGAAGGGGCGGGTCTCACATGGGGGTCGTCCAAGAGCTGTGGCAGAGGTCGTGCAGGCTGCGAGCTGGGAGGCTGGTGGGACTGGGGGATGCATTGGCCGAGGCGGGGTGAGCCCTGTGGGGGAGGGGATTGGAGCAAACAGGTGGAGGAACTCCCCAGCTGGGGGAGGGGGAACCCTGGCGGGAGAGGAGAGAGGGGCATTGATGGGGATGAGAGACAGACGGTGTGGGGAGTAAGGCAAGAGGAGAAAGTCAAGGAAAGACTGGCTTTTCTGGGGATCTCTCACCTGTGGGTCGGGCAGTTCTGGGGTCCCCATGTCACATCCGGCACCCTTGATCTGAGGTAGCAGCACACCGTTCTCCCTGTTCTGGGGCTGGGTGCCCTCCGTGGCGCCCTCCGTGGCGCCGGGGGTCTGGGTCAGAGGAGCGGGAGATGAAACTCCTTCAAGTTTCCCCAGGTGTTCTGGCTGGTGGTTCCAGCTCTGGCTTCACCATCTGTCCTGTTCATCTCACTGCAGCCTCAGGCCACCCCCTACCCCCAGCCCCGAGAAAGCACACTGCCTCCCTCGTGAGTGCTGCGGAAAGGCAGGAAGGCTAAGTCTCACCGTGTCCGGCATGCGTCTGCGGCGTGGGGGCTTCCAGGATTTGGAGCCCGTCAGAGAGTTGATGTAGAAGCAGCGTCCGGAGTCGGGGTCCAGGTGCTGTTCCCAAACATCCAACTTCTGCAGCGGGGGACAGGTGGGGCTTGGCGGCGGGGATCGAGGACAGCGGCGGAGGGCCACCAGATTATAGTACACGGGGGGCTCTGACATGAGGGGCTGGGATTCTGCCTGCAGGAGAGAGCAAGGTGAGGCGGAGAGGGAGTGGGTGGTTACTTGGTCTCATCCCTCTTCCAGCTCTCCCTCCTTAATGCCCTCTAGGCCCTTACCTCCCACCTCCCCCGCCACCTCCCGCTCCATTTCCTCACCCCAGGTGACCCAGGCCTGGGGGAGAAGCCCCAGTTCCTCGGCCGCTTCTTAAACCCCCTCTCTCCGGCATCGGCTGCTTTTCTCCTCGCTTCCTGTTGCCAACTTCCCTCCGCCCCCACCCCACCCCCACCCCAGGGCCGCAGGAAAGGGGAACAGGCTTTTTTGTTTGGGGGGGGCGGTGAGGGAAGCGCCCCACCCTCACATCCTGCAGGGTGAAAGAAGGCCTGAGGGGTCGCAGATTCCTGGGTCGGGGAAGGAGGAGGAGTGGGTGGGAGGAGGGGCCGTTTTGCACCCTCGGGTGAGAAATGAGAGGGGAGGGGCTGAGCGACTGGGTTTGCTAAAGGGACTAACTGGTGTCCCCGCTGGCAAGACGGGACACACTGCAGACTCGCCCGGCCGGGGTGGGAGGAAGAAGGGGCTTCTTTCAGTCCCTTTGGACCAGGCTTCCTGTCCCCTTAGGGCCTTTGCTACGTGCCTTCCCTACTTAAAATTCCTCCCAGTTAGAGATCCCATTAAAAGCCTTCTTCATCTTCCCTAACCTCTTCAGCCCTCCCTTCACCCTTCACTTTTCTCCCTGTGGCACTGGAGGATACCAAGGCCATCTCATTTGTTTGTTTCTGTGTGTTTGTCCCTTGAGGGCAGGGATGTAGTTTGCCTGCTTGCCCTGGTACCTGGAACAGAGACCCCGCAGGGCAGTAGCTAAGGGCCCCCCACCTCCTCCATTGATCAATTTGGCTCAGAGGAATAGCAGGGACCCACCTTACTGGCCTTGACCTCCATCAGCAGGTCTTCCTGAGAGAGAGCTCTTCCACTAAGTCTATCCTGGAGGGGCTTCTGTTGGCTGGATCTCAAATTGGCAACACTGAGGCTTCTGTACATTTTGGGGGGAAGGGGAGGAGGCTGCTCACACTTAGCCTGGGCTCTGCTTAGGGATGCCTGGGACAGGTGCAATTCTTCCAGGGAGCCACGCAGCAACTTTGGCCCTGGAAAAACAGGATCAAGATGGGAAGTGGGGGAAAGGCAGGTGATGAGGGGCACCAGCTTGGCTGGGTTCCCACATCCTGAGAAAGCAAGAAAGGCAGAGTGGGACTGTAGGAAAAGATGTGAGATCTGGAAGGAAGGCTTGGTGCTGGGAGAGGTGATGATGGGGTGGGAACACAATGAGGGAAGGCTGGTCAGAGGAAATCAGAGAGGTCAGCTGAAGCTTAGAGGGGGAGGCAGCCTCCTACCAATTCCTAGCAGCCAGGGAAGTGGGAAGGCACTAGGGGGAGGGCTTAGGGGTTACTTACCTCCTGGAGTACAGAGGGAGTGGCTGGAGCCACTGACCATGGGGCTGTGGTGGGGTACCTCCTCTGTCACATAGGCAGCCGGGACAAAGACAGGTCTAGAAGTGGAGGGTGCTCCTAAGCGCCTGGCCAGCCACCAGTCAGAGTTGGTCTTTCGAAGTAGTAGGAACCTGTCTCCTTCAGCCAGGGACACCTGCCGGCCATCTGCCCCAGTGTAAGTAAAGGCATAGAGGGCATAGAGTTGGGATCCCTGAGAAGAACTTCGGGGTCCCAGCCCCAGGCTGCCCCAGGTACTTGGCCACCATCGCCCGGACAGCATAGTGGTCAGCACTGCCACCTGTGAGAAAGAAGGGGTGCAGAAACGCTGGAAGGGTGCAGGCCAGGCTGCCTTCAGGCCGTGGGACATGGGTCTAGGAGGACAGCAGCCTGGGACAGGAGAGAGGGTGGGTGAGGGGTCGGGGAGGTTATGGGGGCTCAGGACTCCTAGGGGAGGTGTCTGTAAGGAAGTATATAAGTGAGGTGTGGGAGGATGTGGTCAGCAGGGCCACGTGGCCAGCCGGGCAGGAAATCAGAGGAGCCAGGCCTGGTTCACTCAGGTTCCTGCAAGTACCTTGTGGGTCCCCTCAGGAGATCCAGGAACATGAAGAAGTTGGTCCTGGGTGCTGGTGTTGAGTGTCGTAAACTGGGCACAGGAAGGAGAAGATGCAGCAAGAGACACAAGACGTAGTGACAAAAAAAAAAAAAGTCTGTGACCCTAGCATTAAAAATGTACACAGGAACCACTGTTTCCGTTAGCCATCACCACAGACCTAAAGTTGCGTACTTCCTGTGTAGACTCTGAGAGCCAGAGGCAGAGGAACGGTAGAGATCAAGTCAGAGAGAAAAAGAAAGTGGCTGGGAGAAGCAGAAACCTTGACCTCCCCACCTGTCCCCTCCCCCACCACACCTACCCAAGCCCAAGTTGTGTTTGGGAAGCTGAGAATCTTGGCCTAATTCTGTATACCTACTGTATACAGCCCCCTGCAGTGTATGGGTTCCTTCATTAGCACTCATAACAACCACCGGTTGAGTACTTCCTGTACTCAAGGAGCAGTGTTAGAGCTGATGAAAGCAAACAGAATAAGCTCTCTTGTTACTCATGGAGGGGTGGACCTCACTCTCAGGAGTTATAACCTAATCAAGGATTAGCATAGTACAGGATACTAGGACAGGTGGATGTGGTGGGGGTGCTGATGTCAGCTTCTCACTGGTGGAAGATGGGATATGATCACCCCTGGGCCACCAGCTCTTTAAGAATTATTTATTTGAGAGATAGGGAAATTGAAAGGGGGTGCTCCCATTTGCTGATTCACCCTTCAAATGCAAAGGCCAGGTGTGGTCAGGCCAAAGCTGAGAGCTGGGAACTCAAGCTATGTGTCCCAACTGGGTGACAGGGATCCAACCACTTGGCAGGGTGCCCTGCAGCCTCCTAGGGTGTACATTAACAGGAAGCTGGAATTGGCATTGGAGCCAAGACTTGAACCCAGTAATCCTGAAAAACGCTTATGCATTTGAGAAAAGGAGAGCAGAGAGACAGCAGTTGAAAATGCACCCTTTGGGAACAGGTTTCTCTTCCCTTTCTCTGAGGTTCTCCACTGCACTGTGTGAGGCTTTTGTTTGGGTTTGGAGAGCTGGGTGGAGTGGGTGACTGCCAGTTCCCCCCTGACACGTGATGTAAGAGTTAGGTGGCCATACCAGGTTTCTGCCTCAGACATTTTAGTTTGTTCTACTGCCAGTGTCTTCCCACCTCCAAAGTAATGACTAATTTCATCCATTCATTCACTCAATTGGTGTTTGGCTTTTTAAAATCTTTTTGTTTGTTTTTTTTTTAACTTTTCAAAAAAGATTTATTTTTATTGGAAAGGCGGACATACAGATAGGAGGAGAAACAGAGAGGAAGAACTTCCATCCGATGGTTTACTCCCCAAGCGGCCACAACGGCTGGAGCTGAGCAAATCCAAAGCCAGGAGCCAGGAGTTCTTCCAGGTCTTCCACGCAGGTGCAGAGTCCCAAGACTTTGGGCCATCCTTGATTGCTTTCCCAGGCCACATGCAGGGAGCTGGATGGGAAGCAGAGCTGCTGCAATTAGAACTGGTGCCCATATGGGATCCTGGCATGTGCAAGGCAAGGACTTTAACCACTACACTATTGCGCTAGGCCCTTTAAATCTTTTTTTAAAAAGTATTGTAGGGCCCGGCGCCGGTTCTAATTCCAGCAGCCCCGCTTCCCTTCCAGCTCCCTGCACCCACGTGGGAGACCCGGAAGAGGCTCCTGGCTTCGGATCGGCATAGTATTGGCCGTTGTGCTCACTTGGGGAGTGAATGATCGGACGGAAGATCTTCCTCTCTGTTTCTCCTCTCTGTATATCGCCTTTCCAATAAAGAAAAAAAAAATAATAAAAATAAACCTTTAAAAAAAGAAAAAAAAGTATTGTATAGGACCCAGCGCAGTAGCTTGGCAGCTAAAGTCCTCTCCTTTCATGTGCATATGGGCACTGGTTCTAATCCCAGCAGCCCTGCTTCCCTTCCAGCTTCCAGCTTGTGGCCTGGGAAAGCAGTACAGGACACCCAAGCCTTGGAACCCTGCACCCGCGTGGGAGTCCTGGAAGAAGCTCCTGGCTCCTGGCTCCAGATTGCCTCAGTTCTGGCTGTTGTAGCCACCTGGGGAGTGAATCATCAGATGAAAGATCTTCCTCTCTGTCTCTCCTCCTCTCTGTATATCTGACTTTGCAATAAAAAGAAAATTAATCTTTAAAAAAATAAATAAATGTTCTAAAATATGTTTACATAATTGAAAGGGATGCATGCCCATGTGGGCCTCTGGTTGACGGGGGGAGGGTCAGGTATGGAGGAAGGTGGTGGGACACATGTTTCAATCTTTTTTTCTTTTTTTCTCCTGTATTTATAGGGGAGAAAAGGGAGAGGGCCACTCTGTAGTGTCAAACCACCATGACAGCACCTGGGGAAGGGAAAGGAAGATGTTCTTTGGTGACGCCCTAGAGATCCCGCCTGGGGAAAAGTGTTCCAAGGGTGTTACTTGAGTGGTGTCACTAGCCCTGAGATATCGTTGGTTTCATTGCTCTAGGGTTGAGAAAATCTTTCCAAGCTCTACTAATTGGCGAAATCCACCTTATTGCATCCATAGACTCAGGAGCATGCTGCAAAGCTTGGCCAGGAGAGTGGTCCAACCTGTTCTGCTTTTTATCCTATGCTGAGGCAGTCAAGGTCCCCTGTTGGCCTAGAAGCACTAGCCATCATATCCCCTGTGTACACCTGGACATGGTGTCCACTGCACAAGCATCAGCAAATAAGGAGGTCCAGTCTCAATACATGCATTCTAAGGTCAGAACACACATCCTGTGATTTTTTCCTTGTGGCCAGGGTTTGAGTCCTCAGCTGGTGTTAAGTACTCCAGGCCCATCCTCTTCTGCCTTTTGCAGAGCTATTTCTTCTCTAACTTTTTTTTTTTTTTTAATCTGAAAGGCAAAGAGTCCCAGAGAGACAGATCTCCCCAAATATCCACAATAGCAAGGGCTGGACCAGGTTGAAACCAGGAGCCAGAAATTCGATCCAGTCCTCTTACACAGATGGCAGGCACCCAAAAAGCTGGAATGGAGAAGATGCAAGCCTGTGCACTCCGATATGGGATGAGGGTGTCCCCAGTGGTGACTTCCTCCTGAACCAAAGGCCTGCCCGTCTTCTTGAGCAATTATTCACTTGAAAGGCAGGGATTAGGGGGCCTGGAGGTGTGGCCTAGTGGCTAAAGTCTTCACCTTGAATGTGCCAGGATCCCATGTCCCACAGTCCATCGCCCTGATCTGCTGGTGGTTGCAATTGCTGGGTTGGTTCTGTTTTCAGCCCCGACTTCCACTGAAACCAGTGGGTGTTGCAATCTAGCTTGGTGCTGCCCGGCACATACTCAGCATCACTTAAACAAGTGGGAGCTGCAGCCTGGTCAGAGCAGCCCACAATAACCCCCACCAGGTCCGCCCCCTACCCTGGTTTGCCAGTATGTGTAGCAGACTAGTCCAGTCTGTCCCACATCCCATTCGGCTCTTGTACATGTCGATGGGTATTGAAGCTTAGTTCCATCTAACCAGCTCAAATATCCAGCCCTCACAGATGTTATTGGGTGCCTCACTGTTTAGTCACTCCTACCCCTATCCTAGTTTTCGTGCCCTCCTGTGGGAATGGTAACCCAAGAGGGAGGAGCCCACTATTTCCCTCCCAGGCCTCTCCCACTCCCGGATTGTGCACTCTCCAGATGGTTCTGTGGTTTGACTTGACAGAATTAGGCCTCAGTGCCAGCTTCTGCCAGCTGATGCTGCGGCTAAGCCCAAACAACCCTCACCCACTCTAATTTTGTTTGCACCCATAGGAACAATCAGCCCAGCCTGGCTTTTTCCTGATCTAGTCCACATGAGACCCACAGGTGATGTAGCCCTGCTTCATCTGGTCTGCCCCCATCCCAGATCACACTCTCCAGTAGGAGTAGCTGTCCAGCAAGGGAACCCCCTGCCTGCTCTGCCCCCTCCCTTCCTGGTTCTCATTGTGCTGCTTGGTTGCTGCGGTCACATCCAGTACAGGCAACCTCACCTTGGCATTCCGTATTGTGCACTGATTTTTGTCGCAACCGAACCTGGCTCGGCCCACACTCTGTTCTGGTGCTTGGATTTGCCAGTGGATGATGTGAACTGACTCAGCCTGGTCTTCCCCCGACCCCTGCCAAATGTGTGCCAGTGGGAAACTTTCCATGGCCTGGTCTGGGCTGTTTCCTATCATGTTTCTTGTGCTTACATGCCAGGTCTGTGTCCTGCCAAAGGAATTGCCCAGGCTCTTCCATCAGAACCTCTCCCAATGCCAGATTTTGTGTATACCAGGGGGTCCATGAGCCAGCCCTACTCAGTTCACCTCCTGTCCTAACAGGAACAGTGACTTTTCCTGACTGGCCTTCAACTCAAACTGGTTCTTGCTGTTGGATGTTTCAGCACAGCCCCGGCTCATCCATACCCACATTCGGCTCAGTAGGGGTTGAGACCTTGCCTAGTCTATCTCACATCAACTCTGGTCCTCCAGGACACCAGGCGGTGTCGGGGTTTGGCCCGGCTTGGTGCGTCCAGTCCCAGTCCACATTTGTGCCAAGGGAGACTACAACCATTTCCTGATCAGAACACAGCCCCCATTCCGGCCCATGTGCCCCTTGGTGGGAACCTGAACTCAGTTAGGGTGTCCCCTTAGCTCTCCAACCGGGCCTGTTCCCAGCCGTAGATCACTTGCATGCCAGTGGTTGCTCTGACTCAGTTTGGCTCAGCCCCTCACCTGTCCCAGCCTCTGTCTTAGACACTGGCTTGGTGTCCCTGGCTCACGCAGACCTGTAGGTGCAAGAGCCTAGCTCGGCATGACCTGTGCTCCATCCTGGTTTCTAGTTTCGCTTGTGGGCTAAGGTTTACTCAGTCTTGCTGGTACACCCTGTTGCATTACCAATTAACACATTTGCCAGCTGTTGGAGCTACTTTGTCCAGCTGGTCCGATCCCTAGGTCTGGATCACATATTTACCAGCGGGAGCTAGGACCTGCCAGGGGAGTTTCCCAAGTTCCTCCACTTGATCCACTCCCAGACCCAGTTCTCATACATGCCATTGGGTTTTAGGCCAGTACCTGGCACAGTCTAGCATTCCATTTGGCCTTGTATGAGCTGGTGAATGTTGCAGCCTGTCCTACCCCACACCCTATTCAGGATGCACATTCGGGTGCTGCTGCCTTGACCAGTCCAGACTGTTGTGAGTTCCTTTACCTGTGATTGATGGCAGGCTCCTTGGTCATACCTAGCTTAATCCATCACCACCCCAGCTCTTGAACTAACCAATGGGGCTAGATTTTCCGCAGGGTTTGGCCCCACACATCCCCCACAGAATTTACCCCCAGATATGGTTCTTGAGTGCTAGTTAATGTCATGGCTCTGCCTAATGTGACTCATCTGCTGATCCATCATCATGTCAGGTAATAGGATATGATCCTGCTGGACAAGCCCCTAGCCTTAGCTTTTGCATGGACTGGTGTTCAGTGCTCAGCATTGTAAAGTGATTACAAGTTCATCAAAGGAAGTGTTACTGTCATTGGGAATCTTTGGGATTGATTTACATCCCAGAAGCATAGTGGGTTCAACCTGGAGCTACCTAAGCAGCGCTTCAGAGAACTAAAACCCCAGAACTCCTGGCCAGGCGGCCAGCAGGAGAAGCCTGGCGCCAAATGGCGCACTGGCCTGGGGACAACTCACCACGTGCACATGGTGGCTGAAGTTGGGGACCCATGCATGAAGACACCCTGTCCTGAGACCCACCCGCAGCTGGCAGGCTGCAGGAAGTTTAAGCCCCCAGGCCCAAGGTTGCGCCCGTCCCCAATCCCATCCACAGCTCAATGAGGGTGGTGGTTGAGTCCCGGGTCTGCCAGGTCATGGAGACTTCCCACCTCGCTGTTCTCACCCCAAAGGGAACAGCCCCAGGAACCCAGGCAGGCCCGGGGACAGCTCACCACATGCATGTGGTGGCTGAAGTCAGGGATCCGTGCATGAAGATGCCCTGTCCTGAGACCCACCAAAATAAATAAATGTTTTAAAAAAACAAAGTCTCCCGCAGTGGTGGCAGGGGACCCTGAGCCACCACCCTCTGCCTCCCAGGATATACATTAGTAGGAAGCTGGACTGGAGGAGGCAGACCTGGAACTTGAACCAAGCACTCTGATATGGTAAGTGCATGTCCCAAGCTGTGTCTCGGGCTGAGACTAAAGTACTCAGCTGAACAATTATCCTTGCAGTAAGTTCCACACTTTGAGTAGACAAGGCTAACAACTCTAGCTGTTATCTCATGCAGTGAGACAAAAATTCACGTACACAAGTATCTCTCCTCTGCTTTCATCCCTGTGATTCCCACAAAGAGAGGAAGTATAAGGAATTGAGAGTTGTTTCTCTCTCTTTTCAAAAGATTTATTTATATTGGAAAGGCAGATCACATTTACAGAAAGCAGAGACAGAAAGATTTTCCGTCAGCTGGTTCACTCCCCAAATGGCCACAATGGTCAGAACTGAGCTGATCTGAAGCCAGGAGCCAGGAACTTTTTCTGGATCTCTTATGTGAGTGTAGGGTCCCAAGGCTTTGGGCCATCCTTGACTGCTTTCCCAGGCCACAAGCAGGGAGCTGGATGGGAAGTGGAGCAGCTGGAACATGCACCAGTGCCATATGGAGTCCTATTGCTTGAAGTTGGAAGATTGGCCAATTGAACTGTCTCACTGGGCCCCAAGAGAATCACCTCTCTTGGAGAAGAGAGAAGAATATGGAAGGGCAAACCTAAAGGTGATCTTCAGACACAAATCAGCAACATCCATGCTGTTAACAAAGATAAAACAAGAATTCTTAGTTGAAGTAGGTACAAAGGGTTCGGTCCAAGGAGTGGATTCTCTTCCCTCAGAGGAATGGGAAACTGGTGAGGTTACCTTCTTAATTTCTGTATGTGTGTGAATTCATGTGAATGTAAGAATAATGTATGTGACATATATGTATGTGTGTATGCATTTGTATATGTGTGTGGCTTTTTAAAAAGTCATGGCTTTTTAAAAGAATTTTTTATTGGAAAAGCAAATTTTACAAAGAGAGAAGGAGAGTGAAAGATCTTCCATCTGCTGGTTCAGTCCCCAAATGGCCATAATGCTGGAGTTGAGCTGATCCAAAGCTAGGAGCCAGGAGCTTCTTTCCAGTCGCCCACATGGATGCAGTGGCCCAAGGACCTGAGTCATCCTTTACTGCAATCCCAAGCCATAGCAGCGAGCTGGACTAGAAATGGAAAAGCCAGGACCTAAACCAGTACCCATATATAATGTTGGCACTGCAGATGGAAGCTTAGCCTAAAACAGCACCAGCATTGGCTCCTAAAATTGTTTTCTTTCTTTCCTTTTTTAAAAAAAATTGTTATTTTTTTTATTGGAAAGGTATATTTACACAGAGACAGAAAGATCTTTTGTCCATTGGTTCGCTACCCAAGTGGCTGCAATGGCTGGATTTGAGCTGATCTGAAGCCAGGAGCCAGGAGTTTCTTCCCAGTCTCCCACATGTATGCAGGGTCCCAAAGCTTTGGACCATTCTCTACTGCTTTCCCAGGCCACAAGCAGGGAGCTGGATGGAAAGTTGAGCAGCCGGGATACAAACTGGCACCCATGTGGGATCCTGCTGCATGCAAGGTGAGGATGTAGCCACCAGGCTACAGCGCTGGACCCCTAAACTTTTTAAAAAGATAAATTTTATGTTTATTGCAAAGGCGTATACAGAGAGGAATAGAGACAAAGAGGTAGATCTTCTGTCTGATGGTTCACACCCCAAGCTCTCTGCTCGCTTCCCGCCCTGGGCTGTTTATTACTCAAGTAAGCTCATCATTAACTCCTAACTCAATCTCTGAAGGCAGGCATTTCACCTAGCCTGGATGCCCATGCCACCGCCATGGTTGGTGTCTCAGTTCTACCCCCAACTTGATCTACCTCCTCCTGTGCTCCTTGGGAAGCAGAAGAATCTCAGCTGGCTGGGTCCCTGTCACGCACGTGGGAGACCTGGATTGAGTTCCTGGCTCCTGTTTGTATTCTGGTGCAGCTCCACCTATTGCGGGAATGTGGGGAGTGAGTCAATGGATTGGAAACCTCTCGTCCACTCCAGTTGCCACCCGCCCCCCCCTCCCCGCGTCTCTCCGTCTCTCAAATAAAACAGATTAAAATCCTCTGATCCGTCAGAACTTGAGTCGCGAGTTGGCCACTACGAGCAGCTGTTCTTCCTCTTTTTTTTAAAATTAATTTTATTGCATTATGTGACACAACGTTAAAGGCACTGGGATTCCCCCCACCCCTTCCCGAACCCTCTCCCCATGGTGGATTTCTCCACCTTGCGAGCAGCTGTTCTTATGACATTCACCTTCCACCACAACAGGACGAGAAAGGTTCAAGGCTTCCTTCACCCTGGATCTAAACAAATCACTTCTCAGCATGCAGCACCATGCAGGTGCCGCTCTAGTAATCGTGTGGGCGGCCTCCCCCGTCTCGATGGTGGTCTCTTCCTGTTCGCTCGCGTTGCACGATGGGAGAGAGAGTCTACTTTCCGGCAGCACTGCAAGAACCTCTACTCAATCCGGAACTCCATTTCCCGGCGGGCTTCGCGGCGGTCGCTCAACTTTAAATGCGGGAGGGCTGATTCCGCTTGCATCAGCGTGGATTTCGCGGCAGAATGAGGTTGTTCGTGAGTCAAGGCTGCCCTGGAAGCCTGCCGGTGCTGGCGGCAGCCGGGAGGGTCCGGGGCCGTGCAGAGCTGCTCATCAGCACCGTAGGTCCCGAAGGTAATTTGGGTTGGTGTTGGGAGGCGGTGGCTGAGGGGGGCGGACAGGACACCTCTGACACCCTGACAAACCTCCAGTTCCCCTCCGAACGCTTCGTTAACCTCAGTGTACCCTCCCTTCATGTGTGGCTTTGCGTCTTTCGTCATCCAGGACCTCGCTTCCCCTCCAGAACCATTCTTCCCCTTCCCGATTGTCCCCTGTGCACTCCTTTACCCCAGACACGCGTGGTCCTTCTGAAGACACACCTCCCTCCGGCCAGACCCGGCCTCACTGCTTTCTGTTGACCTCTGCTCAATCCGAGCCAGGGTTGGGTCATTGTTCCCAGCTCTCTTAATTTCCTTCTTCCTTGTGACTGGATAATCCTCCTGTGCCCTGGGTTACATTAGATTGTCCCAGCGCCACCACCTCTTCACTGTTGTTTGTAGCTGGTGGTGTTGCTGAGCACCTGCCCGCAGCCAGTTCATTCTAGATCCATGCACTCCCAATGGTTCTGTCCTGAGATCTTGGTGGACTGTGTCCATCTCTCTTCCCTGAACAGTGTGAGATTTATCATGTTGATCAAGTTTTTCTTGTCTTCTGTCTCTCTCTCTCTCTTTTTTTTTTTTTTTTTGCACCTATTTTCCCCTTCCTCATCAGATTGTGTGGTCCCGTTCTTGACCCGGCCTAAGGTCCCTGTCTTGGAACTGGACAGTGGCAACTACCTCTTCTCCACGAGTGCGATCTGCCGGTCAGTATGGGTCCTTGCCGTTGGGGAGAGGGAGAAAGTGTGTAGCCTTACTTGCAGCCATCGTTTCGCTGAAGGATGACAAGGGCACTACTCTAACGACCAATCTTTGCTTGCTGTCTTTCTGGGCAGGTACTTCTTTCTGTTATCTGGCTGGGAGCAAGATGATCTCACCAACCAATGGCTAGAATGGGAAGCCACCGAGCTGCAGGTAGGACTGAAGCCTGGGGGATGGCAGGCAGGCCCTTGTTGTGTGTGGCCATCCTGACCCATGTCCCCTGTATTTTTAGCCAGCTTTGTCTGCTGCCCTGTACTATTTGGTGGTGCAAGGCAAGAAGGGGGAGGATGTTCTTGGCCCAGTCCGGAGGGCCCTGACTCATCTGGACCAGAGCTTGAGTCGGCAGAACAGCCCTTTTCTGGCTGGGGTGAGTTGACTTTGAAAAGGAGACTGTAGAAATGCTTAAGATGGAGAGAGAGGACCGTGCTCAGAATATTCAGTCCTCAGCACTGAGGCTGGCCTTGTGGTACAGTGGGTTTGCAGCACTAGCATCCTGCATTGGAGTGCTGCTCTGCTTCTGACTCACCTTCCTGCTAATGTGCCTGGGAATTAATGTGCTAAATACTTGTCTCCTTGACTAATCCAGCCATTTGGGGAGTGAACCAGCAGATGGAAGGAAGATCTCTTTGTCTATCTACCTTTCAAATAAATAAGATAAATCTGAAATAAATAGTAAACACTAAACACTGCCCCTCCCGTAACATTGCCCCTCCCTAAGTTGACAAATCTCTTCAACTTTTTGATCTTGATTTTTTTCTCCACGTGGAATGGGGAAAAATAGTAATCCCTCAATGAGTTATTGTGAGGATTGAGATAGTTAACATGCTTAACAGAGTACTTGACATGTATTAAGTGCTCAACAAGCACTAGCTGCTGTTATTACCATGGAGAAAAAAAATTGAGCTTCTCGCCTGGTCACCTTTTTCTTTCTTTTCCTAACAAAGGAGACAGAATCTGTAGCTGACATTGTTTTGTGGGGAGCACTATGCCCTTTACTCCAAGACCCAGCCTACCTCCCAGGTAAGACCCTCACCTCTACTCCAGCAGCTTGGTGGTAGGGGTTGCAGAATGGGCAGTGGAACCTTGGCCTAGGTCGTGGTGCAGCTTGGCAAGGCAGCTACAGCCTGTGATGGTGGAGGCAGCTTCCCTCCTCTGGGGAAGTGGGAAGAGACAGTGTACCTGCCCAGTCCAGCTACTGAGGCCTGCTGATCCCTTCCTTCCCTCCACACCTGCAGAGGAGCTGGGGGCCCTGCGCAGCTGGTTCCAGACACTGAGTACCCAGGAGCCCTGTCAACGAGCTGCAGAGACCGTGCTCCAGCAGCAGGGCGCTGCGGCCCTCCGGCCCTACCTCCAGAGGCAGCCGCAACCCCGCCCAGCTGAGGAGAAGCCTGTCAGCAATGAGCCTGAGGTTTGGGGCTGAGCAGAGCTTCCCTGTGCATCCTGGGCGGGGGTGGGGGCTGAGAGAGAGGTGGGAGGTGGATGGACCTTATCCATGGCGCCTCGCTGTTTCTGTGTTTGAAAAGTACAGACAGGAATTTCTTTACCCTGTTGAGTCTCGCTCATGTGGCAAAGGATTTTGTCTACTCCTAGGAGGAGGAGCTGGCCACCCTTTCTGAGGAAGAGATTGGCCTGGCTGTCAGCGCCTGGGAGAAGGGCCTGGAGAGCTTGCCTCCGCTCCGGCCCCGGCCGAATCCAGTGTGAGTAGGTGCAGATGAGTGGGGCTTAGAGATGGTAAATGGATGGGAATGAAACAGACTCTGGGATTTCATGGGACTTTGAGTTGGATGGGCATTTAGAGAAGGATTACAGAAATGTGTAGTTACAAATCATAGCAAGTTAGGACAGTAAAGAACAGGATATCATGGGAGAAAATGCCCGAAGGGAATAGAGGCTACTTTTAAAAGGACAGACCTGACAGGTGGAGGAGGCAGGTCGGCAAGGGTAAGGATGGGCAGAGATGGATTCAGATAAACCCTGAGGTGTGAAGGCCTGAGGAACAGGAGGCTGTAGGCTTATAGGAAGGACTTTTGCAGGCATTTATGCAGGTTAACCTCGTTCAATGTAAGTAGAGGGTAATGTAGTTGATACTGAAAGCCCTCTATGCTAGCTAAGTGGCTTTACTGTATCCTAATCCCTTTTGGCCCTTCCTGGTGCTCCATTACACTGATCCCAGTCCACAATTACATGAGTGCAGTAATTCTCCCTTATCCTTGGTTTTGTTTGATGTGGTTTCCTGTTACCTGTTGTTCAGTTGGAGTCTGCAAACTCTTAAATGGGAAATTCCAGAATTAACTGATACACAAGTTTCAAGTAACTTTTGTCACAGTATATCTTTAATTTTTTTTCTGTTTTATTATTAGTTATTGCTAATGTCTCATTGAGTCTAGTTTACAAATTACGCTTTTACATAAGTGTGTATACAATATGAAGGTACTAAAAAAAAGTCTGGAGGGGGAAACGGAATTAAATGAATTGAGGGAAAGGTGCTTGCTTTCAGAGTACCTGGGTTCTAGTCCTGCCCCCTCTCTGTTCTAGATTCCTGCTGTTGCATATTCTGGGAAGCAGTGGTAATGGTTAAGTAACTGGGTCCCTGTCACCCATGCAGGAGTCCTGGGTTGAGTCCTGCTTCCCAGCTATGCCCAAGCTCTGGCCGTTGTAGGCATTTGGGGGGGCAAATCAGTGGATGAGATCTTTTTCTCTAGCTCTCAAGATCAAAACAAAACAAAAATTATTTTGGTGTTTTAAAAAATGAAATTCAGGCATAGTTTCTTACAAATAATTCTCCATGAATATTTTAAAGTTTCTTTATCTTTCAGTTCAGTTTTCCATATACTTTTTGAGGTACTCTGGTATATGCATAGGTTCAGCCATCTCTGCAGTTGTGGGCATCCCCTGTGGATCTTGAGGTGGGTCCCCAGCAGATGATGGGGGATTGCTGTGGTATAGAAAAAACCTGTTGTAGGCAGAAACCAGGGCCTACTCCCCTATGTAACGGCCTCACTGGAAAGCACTCTCATGTGAGCTACAATGGGAGCTGAACAAGAGTAGAGTGTGAGAAGGGCAGAAAGAGCTCAAGGACTTGGGGTGTGAGAAAGATTGTGTGCGGGGCTGGTGTGCCATGGGGGGAGTTTGCCTGAAGAAGTAGATTTCTCAAGTTGGATTTCAGAGAAAATTGTGTCCTTGGTTATGGGGAGAAAGGATAGTGAATGCGAGAGAAATTAGGAAGATCTGTTGTGAGGCAGTAAGCTGTCATGTGATTCTAGGAACAAGACAGGCTACCTGATGGGATTCTAGAAGCAGCAGCTTGTATGAAAGTGCTGAGGGGGGCAGTGATGGTGAGATAAGAAAGCAGCTGGGAAGGTGATGGGGGTTGGGGTGAGGTGTCTGTGCTTGGAAGGGCCAACTGGCAGTGGATGATGCAGCTGAGCTGTCAAGGGTGAAACAGCAGAGAAAGGACACTGAACTGAATGACTTCATGTATTAGGGTAAATGGCTGACTACAAAGGATCCTGGAAGAGAGAGAAGGGAAGCTGTGGAGGCAATGGCTGGGGCCTGTTAGTTTTGTTTGGCCATGAGGAAATGATAAGCATGGGTTATGAATTGAGGGGCCCAGAAGAACTTTGTATACTTGTATGGTATGTGGGGAGGTGAGCAAGAAGGATTTCCAATGGAGGCAAGCTTCCATAGCAACTGGGAAGCATGGGAGAGGTCAGCGCTGGCAGGGTTCTTAGGAGTTGGGAGAAGGATGATGATTGGGCAGAGTTGAGGGAGATCTTTGTCAGTACTTGGGGAAGTTTGGGTGAACAGAAAAGAACCTGTTGGTAATGAGAGATGGAAACCAGAGTTGGGATGAGGCTTGCTCATGTGAGCAGGGCCCTGTGCCTGCAGCTCTGGATGGTCTGTGTTCTGTGCTCATGGGGGGGCCTTGAGGTCCTGCAGATTCAAGGATTGTACTGTCACAAGACTGTGACAAGTCTGTAGTTCCTTTAGGTCTCTGTTGACCCTTGCATCTCCGCCATGAGCTCCCTCTTCCTCCTCCCATACCAGGTTACCTGTGGCTGGTGAAAGGAACGTGCTCATCACCAGTGCGCTCCCTTATGTCAACAATGTCCCCCACCTTGGAAACATCATTGGCTGCGTCCTTAGTGCTGATGTCTTCGCCAGGTGGAGCTAGCTGCTGGGGAAGGGACCTCTTGAGGGAGGAGTGGGCCTCGTTGGGGGGGGGGGGTGCCCCTTGGGTGGCAGAGATCCTGGGTACAAGGGCCCTCTGCTCACCACCTTCCAGGTACTCTCGCCTCCGCCAGTGGAACACCCTCTATCTGTGTGGAACAGATGAGTATGGCACAGCCACGGAGACCAAGGCCATGGAGGAGGGCCTGACCCCACAGGAGATCTGTGACAAGTACCACACCATCCATGCTGACATCTACCAATGGTTCAACATCTCATTTGATATTTTCGGTCGCACCACCACCCCACAGCAGACCAAGTAGGTTTCCTCTAAGGAAGCAGAGATGGAGGTGGAAGGCTGTGGCAGAGGCCCGTGATAACAGCCTGGAGATAAAAGGAATTAAGTGGCTATCTGAGCATTCCTCTTAAACATAGGATCTGACTAGAGCCCATACTGGTACCCAGGCATTAGCAAGGGGATTCAGTATGTGCAGAAGCCTGACTGTGGGCTGGGGTAGCCAAGGGAGGGAAGGGAGCATGTGTTGTTGGGGAATATGCATGAGGATGCTGAGCTTAGTCAATAAACTCTGAAAAAGATGGGGTAACCTTTTGTCTTGATGTGCTGCCTGCCTGCATGCTTTGGCACATGGATCCCCTGACTGGTGGGAGTGGTAACAGGAGCGGTACACTGCCTCCTCTGACTCTCCTTGTCCTTCACTTACCTTGTCAGAATCACGCAGGACATCTTCCAGCGGTTGCTGTCTCGCGGTTTTGTGCTGCAAGATACTGTGGAGCAGCTGCGGTGTGAGAACTGTGCCCGCTTCCTGGCTGACCGCTTTGTGGAGGGAGTGTGTCCCTTCTGTGGCTATGAGGAGGCCCGTGGTGACCAGTGCGACAAGTGTGGCAAGCTCATCAATGCCGTGGAGCTCAAGGTGAGGAGGAAGGTCTTCAGGGAGCCTGAAAGGAGACAGTACATGTTATTGGAGGGACTGCCAGTCTAGTCCCAACGAGGGTGATGATTTTAACACCTAGGACGTTTTAATGCTGGTCCTTTCTGACCCATTTCAGTGACTCGAACAATGCTTATTGAGCACTTACTATGTGCTCAGTGCCATGTCAGGAAATACAGGTATCCTAACCCTTGCTGCTCCTTCAGGCTGCTTATGCCTGTGTGATCCTTCTCTTCATAAATACCTCTGACTTCTAGCCTGTGGTTGCTCACTTGTTAACTTGCTGATTCATTCACTCACTCATTTGACAGATGTTTTTTGAGTTCCTACTATAGACCAATTCTAGATGTTGGGAATAAGGTGGGCTCTTGCCTAGCATGGGGAGGAGCCCAGCACCAACCAAATAATCACAGCCATCTACCTGGATCTGGGTGGAGATTGGTTCCAGGATGCCCTGTGGATGGATTTCAAAATTAACTCATACTCAGAATCCTTATATAAAATGACATCATATTTATACATAACCTAGGCCATTCTTCCACATGCTTTAAATCCTCTCTAGATACTTCTACCTAATGAGTGCGAATGTGGTAGAAATGGTTGTGAGAGTGATGAATGAATGGTAAGCTATTATGTGGCTTATGGATGGGAGGGAAACAAGTAGAGAGGAGGATTTGGAGGCCAGCGTCCAGAACTGGGGTGCTGGTGTTTTGGTCTAGCAGTAATGGAAAAAAAAAATAATAATAGGATGTGTGTTACAGGGAGAGTGCTAAAGAGCTGGCTAGGCTGGAATTTGGGGTGGTGAAGAAGAAACAGATGGGCTGTAAGTTTGTGGCCAGATCAGTTTGGGTTGATGGTAGTACCATCTACACCCATGGGTGGGAACAGCCTTTTGGGCAGACTGCTATTACAGAGTCAGGGTTTGTTAAGCTCAGGATGATTAGTGGACATCCAAGTCGAAGTGTTAGCTGGGCAGTTGGATGTAGGCCTGTGGCGTTCACAAGAGGTCCTGAGAGGGAAGCTTGATTGAAACAGCTGCAAGTGTTCCCTGGCTGGCCCCATCCCTGTTTTCTTCTAGCCTTCCTCCTTTGGTGTTTCTGTAATTCATGCTTGGCTCTAAATAGGTCTGCACTGTCTCCCAAGCCAGCTCTCCCAGTCCCTAATCTGAATGTCACCTCCTCAATGAGATGGTGTTTGTCATCCCTCTACTTGTCCCTTTTCTGACACATTTCGGTACGACGCAGTGCTCTGGCCCTGGTCTGTGCTCAGAGCCCACTTTGACCTCTGGAGTACCAGGAGGGTGATGGGAAACTGTGAGGAACACATGTCATGACACTGTGAGCTTGAAGTTCAGAGAGGGCTATGGGAATGGTGAGTGTGAAGTAAAACCACGCATTAGTCAGCCCGAGGGGCCTCACCCCTCTGTGTCCCAGCAGTAGCCCAGATAGCTGCCCCTGGCCTGCAGTCCTGCTGCTGACCCACCCCCTCACCCCCTTACCTGGAATCTTTTCACAGAAGCCTCAGTGTAAAGTCTGTCGGTCCAGCCCTGTGGTGAAGTCTTCCCGGCATCTGTTCCTGGACCTCCCTAAGGTAGGAAGGCCTTCCCCTCAACCTGGTGTTTCCTGCCCCTGCCTTGGCCATAAACACTGATAGCCAGTCACTTGTGGCAGCCAGTCACCTGTATGTGTTTGCAGTTTCCATTAAGAATTGCCTGTTCTGCTATTGTAAAGAGAAGAAATGCATGAGAGGGCACAGAGGGAAAGCCCCAGGCTACGGCCGCTGGTTTCCCTTTGTGTCGATTCAGCAATATGTGTAAGTTCATGTGGAAGTTACATCATGGCACAAACATGCCTCCTGCAACCTAGTATATAGAAGTTATGTCATCATGAGACACACATGCCTCCTGCAACCTGATTGCTTTCACTTTGTGCCATATTTTAATTGATCTTCCACGTTAGGAGCTATGTATTTTTTTAACTTATTTGGAAATAATTTCCAGTTCACAGAAATGGTGCAAGAATAAACAACCCATATTCTTTACCCAAAAGAAACCTTGCGCCAGTGACCTTAATTCATTTTAATTTTGCCATTTTGATTTGATATGTTCTGGAAACATCTTCGTTTTAGTTCATAGAGATTCTCATTTGTTCATTGTGTAAGTATGTATGTGTGTGTATCATTTCAGACAGATAAAAATAATTTTCTGATATGGGATGCAGCTGTTCTGTATACTGGCTTCATATGCTTCCACAGTACTTATCTCTGGGTGCCATAGCTTAGTCAATCAAATGTTTGATATTAGGTAGTTTTCACTATTGTGTAGCAACATATAATGTTGCGTATAATGGCATGTAACACAAGCTCTCTATATAGGTATTATTACATTTTTTGAAGTATGCGCATCGTAAATGCCTTAAGTGCGATCCCTGGCTGTGTCAGGGATAGAAATGCATGCGTGCTTTATTGCTGGATTGTCCTCGGCGGTGGCCACGTCTTCTGCTCCACTCACAGCATGTGGCTGTGTCTTGCCATGTAGTGTCACCAGCAGAGTGCATTAGGAGGCCAGAGGAGCTGCTCCCATTTCTGATGTGGAATTTACGTGGATGAAACCCATAATCCAGCCCTTCAAAAAGATTTCTCTTTCCTTTTGTGCTTAACAAAAGTGGTAAAGGCCGTTTTTTTTTTTTCCCCCTCCCCTGCACTGCCAAGAATTTTTTTTCTTAAATTTCAGATGGAAATCTATGGTAGAAAAGTAGGAAAGTTGAAGTTCTTGTAAGTCCACCTGAGAATAAGCACTAAAAATGTGTTCCTTCAAAAATTTGTCTGACTTTATATTAATTAATTGTATATTTTTTTACTTTAAAAATAACATTATATAATTATTGTTTTCCAGTTGGCTTTATTTGATAATCTGTTTTGTAGATCTTTTTATATGTATATGTAAATTACCTCATTCTTTTCAATGGCCTTATGAATATTTCTTGGTATTGATGCAGCATGCATCGTATTCATCTGAGCTATGGCAGTTTCAGGTTTTTGCTGTCAAGCTGCATTTCTTTATGTACGTGTCTCCATACTTTTATGTGACTATATCTGTTGAATAAACTCCTTGATGTAGAGTTGCTGTGTCAAAGTCCCCTGAGTCTCCTAATCATATATTGCCACACTGTATTTTTTTTTTAAGATTTATTTTATTGGGCCTGACACCGTGGCCTAGCGGCTAAGGTCCTCGCCTTGAACACGCCCCAGGATCCCATATGGGCACTGGTTCTAGTCCCGGCAGCTCCACTTCCCATCAGCTCCCTGCTTGTGGCCTGGGAAAGCAGTCGAGGACGGGCCAAAGCCCTGGGACCCTGTCCCTGCATGGAATACCCGGAAGAGGTTCCTGGATCCTGGCTTTGGATTGGCATAGCATTGGCCGTTGCACTCACTTGGGGAGTGAATCATCAGATGGAAGATCTCGCACTCTGTCTCTCCTCCTCTCTGTATATCTGACTTTCCAATAAAATAAATAAATCTTTAAAAAAAAAGATTTATTTTATTATTGGAAAGTCAGATTTACAGAGAGGAGAGACAGAAAGATCTTCCATTCATGGTTCATTCCCTAAGAGGCTGTAAAGGCCAGAGCTGAGCCTATCCGGAGCCAGGAGCTTTTTCTGGGTCTCCCATGAGGGTGCAGGGTCCTAAGGCTTTTGGGCCATCCTCTACTGTCTTCCCAGGCCACCAGCAAGGAGCTAGATGGGAAGTGGAGCAGCAGAGATACAAACCACTGCCCATATGGGATCCTGGTGGATGCAAGGCAAAGACTTTAGCTACTAGGCTAACGTACTGGGCCTACCCACACTGTGTTTAAATGCTAACCATGTGAGAAATTGTCCTAAATCAGCCTGTCTTTGCCTTTTCAGCTAGAAGAGCGACTGGAGGCATGGTTGGGGAAGACATTGCCAGGTAGTGACTGGACACCCAATGCCCGATTTATCATTCGTTCCTGGCTTCGGGATGGCTTAAAACCACGCTGCATAACCCGAGACCTCAAATGGGGAACCCCTGTCCCCTTAGAAGGTTTCGAGGACAAGGTAAAGCTCTTTTCTCCTTGTCCTTTCAAACTATGTGATTCGTCTGAGGCGTTAACTTGAGACCCTTGGGTAGTTGACTAGACTGTTGATTGTGTCCTATTCTGGTCTGAGACTTGGAATTAGTCACTGTAGGGCTCTTTCCCTCTTGACCCTTTAGGTATTCTACGTCTGGTTTGATGCCACTATTGGCTACCTGTCCATCACAGCCAACTACACAGACCAGTGGGAGAGGTGGTGGAAGAACCCAGAGCAAGTGAGCAAGTCTGGTTCACCTGTTGGGTAGTGGGAGATGAGTGTGTGTGCGTATGTGTGTGTGCATGTGTGGTGGGGTACTGCTATCTATTGGGGTTGGGTAGCTGTTCTTTGCTAAGTCTTTGAAGGAAGTCTCAGCAGATCTCTTTGACTGTGTTCTCCTAGGTGGACCTCTATCAGTTCATGGCCAAAGACAATGTTCCCTTCCATGGGTTAGTTTTTCCTTGTTCAGCTCTAGGAGCTGAGGACAACTACACCTTGGTCAAACACCTCATTGCTACAGGTTGGTGCCCTGGAAGAATGCAGATGGTGTGTTCCCTGGGAGTGAGGGCGGTGCAGTCCTTGAGAGATGATCCTGGAGAGCTACTGGGTCTTGAGTTAGGAAGTGAGATAAGATAGGAACTCATATAAAAACACAAGCAGCCAATCCAGAGAAAGGAAACCAGAAGCTGAAGAAAGCAAAAGTCTAAAGCAGGAGTGGGGGAGCCCTTATTTTATTTTACAAAAAGGAAGAGACAGAGATCTTCCATATGCTGGGTTCACTCTCCATATGGCTGCAACAGCCAGAGCTGGGCCAGGCTGAAGCCAGCAGCTTCTTCCAGATATCCCAGTGGGTACAGAGGCCCAAACATTGCGGCCACCTTCTGCTGCTTTCCCAGGCACATTATTAGTGGGGAGCTGTATCACAACAGCCAGGAGTCGAAACAGGATGCTGGTGTCACAGGTGATGGCTTTACTTGTTATGCCACGACTCCAGTCCAAACAGGGAAACTTTTTCCTGCTAAGGGCCATTTGGATATTGACATCATTCTCAGACTATGCAAAATTAAGAACTTTTAAATTAGCCTGCTCTTGATGTATTGGATTTTGAGTTCCACCTGACAGGACTAGACCAGATGATTTTACCAACTTACACAGCTCCCACCCCTTTGTAGTAGGTATAGGCAAACAGAAAAGAGGAGCCAGAGTGGATAGGAACTGCTAAGTTCTGTGCAGGTTAGCTACTCAACCTTTGGTGGAGGCCTACAATCGAGACTGAGGAAGGAAAAAAAAGAGCTGATGGGTAGATGGGGGAAGTGTGTGATTGGAGAGGATTCTCTTTCTTTCTCTGTCCAGAGTACCTGAACTACGAGGATGGGAAGTTCTCTAAGAGCCGCGGTGTGGGAGTGTTTGGGGACATGGCCCAGGAAACAGGCATCCCTGCTGACATCTGGCGCTTCTACTTGTTGTATATTCGGCCTGAGGGCCAGGACAGCGCTTTCTCCTGGACAGACATGCTGCTCAAGAATAACTCTGAGCTGTTGAACAACCTGGGCAACTTCATCAACAGGTGGGCCTTCCTTCAGGAGATGAGCAAGTGGAGAGAACCAGTCACAGGCAGGAGGCTGTAATGGGTTGAATGTCCATCTGGAGCCACTGGGACTCACTTCTAGCACATACTAGGTCATATAAACTTGAGGGAATGGTCAACTATAGAGATGTGGCCTAGCAAAGTTGGTCCCAAAGTGGGGTGTCTTATTAGAAATATATTTATTTGAAAAGTTCCTAAATGGCTGCAATAGTTAAGTTGGGGACAGTTCAAATCCAGGAGCCAGGAACTCCATCTGAGTCTTTCACATGGGTGGTGGGGGCCCAAGTAGTTGGGCCATCTCCTGCTGCTTTTCCCAGGCACATTAACAGGGAGATATTAGAAGCAGAACAGCTGGGACTTGAACTGGCTCTCTGATGTGGGATACTGGTGTCACTAGCAGCAGCTTAACATGCTGTGCCACATGCCTGCCCCTCAAAGTGGACTTTTGCAAATTGTTTTCTCAGTGATTTTTGTAGAAGTGGAGATCTATTCCTTCCTGGTTAAAAAAAAAAGTTTCCTTGCAGACCACAGAGAGGTCTGGCTGATGAAAGGCGTTATTTTGGTGTAGAGACAGGCAGTGCCTCCTGCTCTCAGAGTTTCTGTGTGAGTTTGGGCTCACATTTGATTGTTGGTTCCTATCTCAACTGTTCTGCATCCCAAATACCTTTCTTCCATGCCTTAGGATTCTTCAGTCCCAGTGTCTGAGCCCAGGGCCTTTTGCTCAGCCCTGCCAAATACTCATTCAGGTTTGGTCATGAACCACATGTATTCATTAGTCTTTTCAATTATTTATATTTGGAAAAAAGACTGAGACCTTCCATCTACTGGTTCACTCCACAAATGCCTGCATTAGCCAAGGGAAGGCCAGAGCAAAGCCAGGAGCCAGGAAGTTCATCTGTGTCTCTTGTGAGTGGCAGAGACCCAAGCACTCAAGTCATCTGCTTCGCAGGGTGTACACCAGCAGAAGTGGACATATGCTAGAATCCTAAGTGGATCTTTATCATCGTGCCAAATACCTGCCATTTGATAGCAGTTAATACCTATATTTTAACTTTGACTGTTCTGATTATTGACATCTTAAAATGTCTAAGTCCATCAGTTTTTTTTTAAAATGTGCATTCATGTTCTTACAGGAGAGGCAGATGAAAGCATTAGTTTGTTAGGCTGTGCTTCTAGGTTAAGGGTGCCAGAAAATGTTGTTCTGAACAGGAATCCTAAGAAGGAAGTTAAGGAGACTGGGCAGTAACTCCCTTCTCTTCTTCTCCACCCTCATCAAGAGCTGGCATGTTTGTGTCTAAGTTTTTTGGGGGCGCTGTGCCTGAGATGGTGCTCACCCCAGATGATCAGCGTCTTTTGGCCCATATCACCCTGGAGCTGCAGCACTATCACCAGTTGCTGGAGAAGGCGCGGTGAGTAGCCTATACCTTGGTCTCCCCTCAGTGATCCTGGGGGGTGTGTGTATGAGAGAGAGAGCTCCGTGCTGGCCCCCGCAAAGGCCGTGGTCTGTCTGCTCCCATGCTAGGATCCGGGATGCCTTACGCAGTATCCTCACCATATCTCGACATGGCAACCAGTACATTCAGGTGAATGAGCCCTGGAAGCTGATCAAAGGTGGTGAGGCAGACAGGTAGGTAGGGGTGAGAGTCGGGTAAAGGAATAGTGGCTGATGGGCTCTGTCCTGGTGGATCTGACTTTATACTTCTTCCTTTCCAGGCAACGGGCAGGCACAGTAACCGGCATGGCAGTGAATATAGCTGCCCTGCTATCTGTCATGCTCCAGCCTTACATGCCCACAGTTAGTGCCACCATCCAGACCCAACTACAGCTCTCGCCTGCAGCCTGCAGTGTGCTGCCTACAAACTTCCTGTGCACCTTACCAGCAGGACACCAGATTGGCACAGTAAGTTTCAGAGTTGGAACATCAGCCTTTTTTTTTTTTTAAGATTTATTTTTATTACAAAGTCAGATATACAGAGAGAAGGAGAGACAGAGAGGAAGATTTTCTGTCTTATGGTTCACTTCCCAAGTGAGCACAACAGCCAGTGCTGTGCCAATCCAAAGCCAGGAGCCAGGAACTTCCTCCAGGTCTCCCATGCGGGTGCAGGGTCCCAAGGCCTTGGGCCATCCTTGACTGCTTTCCCGGACCACAAACAGGGAGCTGGATGGGAAGCGGAGCTGCTGGGATTAGAACTGGCACCCATATGGGATCCCAGCACGTTCAAGGCAAGGACTTTAACCACTAGGCCACAGTGCCAGGCCCCATCAGCCTCTCTTAAAAATCATACTTAGGCAGCCTTTGGGGTTGGGTTAAGGAAGACCTCACTCTTCATCTGTATTCCACAGAAACAGTTAGAGGGAGAAGGATAGATAACATCTTCCATTCATTGGTTCACTCCCCAAATGGTTGCAACCAGCCAAGGCTGGGCCAAGCCAAAGCGTGGAGTTTCCTCTTGGTCTCCCACATGCATGGCAGGAGCCTAAAGACTTGAGCCATCTCCTGCTTCACCAGGCACATTATCAGGGAGCCAGATTGGAAGTGAATCAGGCAAGATGTGAACCAGTGCCCATACAGGATGCTGGCAGTGCAGGCAGTAGCTTAACCTGTTACACAGTTAACAGCAGCCCCTTATTTTGGGCATGGGATTCTCTCAGCTGTCCAAATTATTTGTATGCCTATGGTTTGTCATTGCCAGAATCCATTATCTGACATACAAAATGCTTGTAGAAGTTTAAACAAACACTAGGATCTGCATAATGCCAATAGGCAGGAAGAGCACAGCCATTTCATCTTTGGCGTAAGATACAAATTGAGGGTCTGGAACAGAGGCCTAGTGGTAAATCCTCACCTTGCAAAGTTTGGGATCCCAAATGGGCATCAGTTCCTGTCCCGGTTGCTCCACTTCCCATCAAGCTCCCTGTTTGTGGCCTAGGAAAGCAGTAGATGATGGCCCAAGAGATACAAAATTGAATATCTTCACATTTTACATAAAACATGAAGGGTCTTCAGAAAGTTTGATCACAGATTGGGGCTGGGAAGAACCTTTGTAGATGTCATTCCAGTAGTTTGCACAACCTCAGCAGTGAATGATCTGCAATTTTCTTTTTTCCACAGGTCAGTCCCTTGTTCCAAAAGTTGGAAAACGATCAGATTGAAAGTTTGAGGCAGCGCTTTGGAGGGGGCCAGGTGAGAAGGCTGAACTGCTCTCCCTGCCAATAGCCAGGGTCATCTTAGTGTTCCTAAAACAGTCCTCATACACTCCTTTCCTATCTTTTGGTCCTGCTGCTTCCTCACCTGTACTTTTCTTTCCTGTCTTAGCTAGAAGAGTCCTTGGAGTTCAAGGTAATCACTTTCCTCCAGGATGTTCTCTAAAACTGGAGAAGTGGGGAGAGGTCTGGCAGCTGGTGCTAACCCTATTGTTGTTCTGTAGGCTAAAGCATGCTCCAAGCCAGCAGCTGCGGAGACAGTGAAGACAGTTGGGCCACAGCAGATACAAGTGCTGATGGATGAAGTGACAAAACAGGTATAAGGCTTCAGCCCTGAGGGAGCCTGAAAGGCCGAGTCCTCAGCGGGCCTGCAATCACCCTGCCCCCTTTCCTCTTAGGGCAACATAGTGCGAGAACTCAAAGCACAGAAGGCCGATAAGAACCAGGTTGCTGCTGAGGTGACTAAACTCTTGGACCTAAAGAAGCAGTTGGCTCTAGCTGAAGGGAAACCCCTTGACACACCTAAAGGCAAGAAGAAAAAGTGAAACACTTGGTTTGCAAAGTCACTTTTAATGGCAAGACAATAATAAATTAATTTACAATCCTTATATACAAGCCGAGATCTCTCTCTTTGTCTCTCCCTTATGGAGTATGTATAATTATGGGTTACATCATTGGCACAGTGTGAAAATGTGCCCATAGCCACTTCTGTGGAAGAAGGTAAGTAGTGGCCCAAAGAGGACTGACTGACTGTTCATGCTTGGTGTAGATTCACCATCCTGTCAATGAGAGCTCGGCGGGTTGCCTCTACTTCCCTGGTGAGGCGCTCAATTTCCTGCTTGAGCCGGTCATTCTCTGCAGCTAGCTGTGCCACTTTCCTCTCGTTCTCTTGTTCCTTTTCCTTCATGCGCTGCTTTCCAGCCCGGGCGGGGCACTGGCCACTTTGTTTTCGTTTCCTGGTTCTTCCTCGGTAGTCTTCTTCCTCCTGGGCCAGGGAGCTCTGACTAGAATCTGGAGAGCGCGGGCTCTGGGAGGTGTTGGTGACTTCTGCGGGTCCTGAGTCGTCAGGCAGCCAAGCCAGAGAGGCAGGGTCAAGCGTAGTGAAGGTTTTGGGTTCTTCCTTCAAGGGAATGAGAAAGGGAGAAGAGTTGGGAAAGGACAAGGTAGGCTCTCTCTCACCTTTGCTTTTAGACCTAGCATACTCACCTCTTCATTTCCAGGGGGCGAGACATAGGTCCCCCCATTTTCATCAGAGGACAGGACCTCCTGCAAGTCCTCATACCAGGCTTCCAGCTCCCAGCTCGACACTGTCCCAAAGGAGAAGGGCAGTGGCTCTGCTGCCATCTCTGCAGGTGGATCAGATCTGGAAAAGGATATGCTCAGGATAATGCAGTGAACTAGCAGCTGGAAAAACAAATTTCACAAAGCCTGCACCATGGGTTGGCACACTGTTCTGCTGCCTGTTTTTGTAACATTCTGGGCACAGAGCCACACTCACTCATTACATACTGTTTATGACCACTTTCATGCTACAACAACAGAGATGAGGGAATAGTTGTGACAGGGATGATATGGCCATAAACATCTAAAACATTCTATTTGGCTATAACATGTGTAAACCCCTCATCTATGCTAACTACTTCTTTGCCTTCTGATCAAGACTTGAAGCAAACTACCTGGCTATATACATCCTTATGGGTTCTTAGTAATTCCTCAGCCCCATATGGGAACTCCACTGGCAGCTTCTGGGAGGATGAGCAAGCCCTATTGTAGAGAAGCTTGAGCAAGTGGTCAGGTGAATCAGTCTAACCTTGATTGGTAAGTGTCTTGCTTGGGGCTGACTTTGAGAGTTTGCTTTCAATGACGATAGGCTGTAAAAATAGCGATTTGGTCACCCTGTTAAGAGGCAGGTCAGGATAGGTAACAAGCCTGTAGGTGGTAGGATCAATAAAGGGAGGTGTGTAGCAGGCAGGACACTGTTGGGAAAGGAGTGGTTAAGTTTACCTGCTTTCAGGTGTGATGATGTATGAAGATACACTTCCTTCTCGAACACTGTGGGAAGCAAAAATAAACGTTAGCCACTTTGGGAAAGTGGCAAAAGAGATTTTTTTCTTTATTTCCAGCTTCCCATTCGTCCTTGCTGACTTCTAGTCTTAGAGAAACATGACTAGTTGAAAAACATGAGTAGTTGAAGATTCCTGTAGTCATTTCCAAGCACAGAAAGAGAGCCTGGCTTCTGTTATTTTTAGTTCCTGACATTTGTAATCCTGATTACATAATAGTGAGGACATGGCCAACTCCACTTTTTCTAAGTTCAAGGCAGGGTTCAACCTTGCCGGGGCAAGGACTAACCTACACATTATGGAAGGAATCAAGTAGCATTTTTCTAACTGCATTCTCACACTGACATCCTTTGGTGAGTGTCAATGTCCAGGCTGGACCTTGGCCTCTGCCATCAGCATTTGTGTCAAGACCCATGCCTGCTGATCCCCTTCCCTGGTCATCTCATCTTGGTAAATGGCATTTCTTTAAGTCAAAAACCTTAGCATCCTCCCCAATTCCTCTTATCCTCACACTCCACAACCCAACATAAAAGCACTCCTGAAGAACTGGGGCGGGGGAGGGACTGGTACAGTGGCTCACAGGCTAATCCCCAGCCTGTGTTGCTTATATCCCATATGGGAGCCAGCTGGAATCATAGCTGCTCTACTTCCCACCCAGTTCCCCTGCCCATGGATTGGGAAAGCAGCAGAGGATGGCCCAAGTCCTTGGGACCCTGCAGCCATGGAGCCATGTGGGAGACATGAAGAAGCTCCTGGCCCTTGATCAGCCCCAGTGGTTGTGGCCATTTGGGGAATGGACTAGTGGATGGAATATCTGTAAATATGACTCTCCAATAATAAAATTATCTGGGACGTGGTGTACTGGGTAAAGCCATTGCTCACAAGGCTGACATCCATTGGATGCCAGTTCACATCCCAGCTGCTACTGGCCTGGGAATAGCAGCAGAGAGTGACCCAAATATGTGGGCCCTGGAGCCCTTGTAGGAGACCTGAATGGCACTTCTGGATCCTAGCTTCTGCCTAACTTGCAGCCATCTGGGGAGTGAAATAGTAGTTGAAAACTGTTTCTTTATAAATCTGAGCTAATTTTTTAAAAGATTTATTTTTACTGGAAAGTCAGATACACAGAGACAGGAAGATCTTCCATCCACTCTGAATCCAAGAGCCAGGAGCTGCTGCCGGTCTTCCACACGGTGCAGGGTCCCAAGACTTTGGACCGTCCTCTACTGCTTTCCTAGGCCACAAGCAGGGAGATGGATGGAAAGCGGGCTGCTGGGATACAAACTGGCGTCTACATGGGATCCCGGCACGTGCAATATGAAGACTTTAGCTGCTAGGCTATCGCACCGGGCCCCATGAATTAATCTTTAAAAAAAAATGTATTTTCCACCAAGTCCATTGTTTCCAGTATGGATGGATTTGCTCTCCCAGGGTTATTACAAAAGCCTCTTGATCTGCAGGTCTGTTTCTTCTGAGCTTGCCACCTCACAAATCAGCTGCCAGATGGGTGTTAAAAACGTGGGCCATTGCTCTGTACTCCAGGGACTTCCTACTCCATGCCCACTAAAAGGCTACCATCCTTAAAGCAGCTTACAAGGCCCACCATGGTGCCTTCCTTTCTTGCCCCTGGTTTTCCCCGTCTACTCCTTCTCCCTTTTTAGCCCAGCCCACTGGCCTGGGATGCCAGCTTCAGCCCTCTGCTCTGGTAGTCTCTCCTGGAAAGCTCTCCCACCTGTTTGATGCAGGATTTACTGCCTTGCTTCCATTCTTATCTTTTCATTGAAATGTCACTTGAAGGTCACTCCTGCCTGCCCTACCCGATGCAAAATTGCAGCCCCTCACGGTGACCATTCTCCACTCCTTTCTCCCCTCGCTTTTCTTCCTGCCATGGGAACTTGTTCATTCCTTCCGCTGAAGCACACAGCTGTGATGTGCCGAGGATCCAAAACTGTGGCACACAGTAGGTGCTCATTATTTACTACATGTGAATGGATAAACCACCAAGCCGAGCGGTAGAGAGCAGCCTCTCCCCGGGGACTGCAGATGCAATCTTGTCCTGGGTGTTTCTCTGCAGGGCTGTGCTCTCTGGGGAAGCCTCCCTCGCCTTGCAGCAAGTGTGAGAAGCCGCTTTCATCAGCAGGGGAACCTCGGGCCAGAGGCCTTCAGAGCCAAACAGGGGGCTGGCCTGATGCAATGGTTACACAGGCAGCGGGAAGACAAGATGGAAAAAAGATGGGAGGTTCCAATCCCCAGAGGAGGACCCAAATGGCCTCCCTCACTGGACCCACGCTGCTCTCTTGTGCGGGAGAGACCTCGAGGGGAAAGGGAAGGCCCATCTCTGCGCCCTGTGCACGTGCACCCCTTTCCCCCAAGGCTATATCGGCCCCCTGAAGGCTCCATCTACCGCCGCGGCCAGGCCGGAGGCCGAGGCAGCGCGCCAGACTCAGGGTTGAGGGTGGGGCGGGGGGAATGCCGCTGGTGGCAAAGCGGCGGACAAGGCCCGAGCCACGGTCCTCCCGTCTTCTCGGGGCGGGGGTGTGTGTCCAGCCCCGCCTCCCACCCGACAGGCTGAGCCAGGTGTCCTCAAGTCGGGACTACGGGACAGCAGGTCAGCCGGGGTCCCTCCGCCCAGAAGCGCGGAGTGGTGCCCAAGGTGGTGGTGGTCGGGGGTGCGACGCTGTCGTCTAAGGAAAAAAAGGGGCCTGTGAGCACCATTCCAGAATAAACGATTCTTCCCATCCCTCCTCCCTCCGTCGTGGGGTCCCTAACTACTGTGGCAGGGTGGGGCCACAGCCTAAAGAGTGGACGCCCCAATTATGAGGAGACAAGTGGCGTTGGCGTAGACATAAGGGTAAAAATACGTGAAGAATCAGTACTCGCCTCTCTCCTTCGGTCCCGACTCTGATTTTGGCTCTGTCGCTGCCACCCGCTCATCTTCAACATCATATACTTTAGTGTCTAAGACTCAGGCCTCTGACCTCGAGAGCGCCCAGCAGAGGACTTTTACCAGTGGTCTGCCCCTCCCCTCGGGGGCGGGATCTAGAAAACCATCAATCGGAAAGCGGCACGAAGGCATTGGCCCCGCCTCATCCCTCTCCTCCGCCACTCAGGAGTCTCTTGGCACCGCCCCTCTCGCGCCCTCTCGCTCGGAGGTCGACGTCGCATCGGACCCGGAAGTGGCTGTGGGTCACGAGGCTTCGCGGAGGCGGTGGGTGAGTCATGCGCGCGCGCGGAGGGGAGTGTGGCAGGGGGAGGGGAAGGAAGGGGGGCGGGGATGATGCAATGTTTGGCAACCGGTGTCTGCCCGCGCACGCGCAGGGGACCACAGGGGGTGGTGGGAGGTCCGGGGGGTGGGGGCGAGGGGAGAGGGCGGGGCTCCGGCTCCCGCAACCGACGGCCCAACGGCTACCGACAGCGGCCTTCGCGAGGGGCCTCCCTGCGGCTTCGGTGCCCCGGGAGCTGCTATTCCGCCCACCTGGCATGAACCCCCCCCTCGGTTTTCCTTTTGCATGAGGGACCCCCGTTTTCCTCAGGGTCTCCTCGTGAAGGCCTTTGGACCCTCCGTTTTGTTCAAGTTTGCATCCCTCCACCAGCTCGACGACGTTTTGCCTTAAAGAGCTCTCTTTTTTAGCCTTCTCACGTCCCCCCCACAGAAGCACTTCCTGCTTCTTTGAGCGCCCTTGACTTTTAGTTTCAGGCAAATCCCCAGCCTGTCAGAATCCACCCCTTTCCCAACCCACGGACCCGCTTCCGTGTCCCCTATGGTGTTATGCCAGTCACCCGACACACCCAAGACCCTTTCCCTCGCAGACAGCGAGTCCCATGAGTCCCCGTTGTGACGGGCTGGATGCAGGCTTCTGGGTGTTGGGGATCATGAGCCTGGTTGCCTGGGTCGTGTGCGTGAATTTGAGGACACGGGTTGTTCGGGAATCTCAGCTGCTAGCCTCAAGCTCTGCCTTTCTAACCCCTGAATCTCGAGACCGTTCTTGTGGGTCGCGATGTTGGTGAACTGCAGATATAATGCATTATATGATGGCACAATGAGAGACCTTTGTACTTGAAGGCAGCTTCAAAGTAAAAGCACCAGGCAAAATGGAAAACTTTTTTTATTATGGTGCCATGAAGCTAGAGGCCATGGAGTGGCCTGCTCATGTCCTGTCATACCCTCACGGGGGCAGCCAGAGTTTGGTTGGCGCGGGTAGACTGTCACCAGGCTGGCGTGGCGGTGACAGGTCCTCGGCTGGGACGCTGCAGACTCCACTTCCTCCCCTCTCTGGGGAGGTGGGGGGCGGGTGAGACCAGATGGTCTCTCCTGGCCTAAAGACGGACCAGGTTGTCAGTGACAGGCCTCGGTCATGTGACTTGACAGGCCGGGGTCGTGTTGTGACACGCTGACCTGGGGGAGGCGGGTCAAGTCCCAGCACAGCACCCGGGGAGCCGGTGGGGCGGGGCAGGGCAAGTCGCGACTTTCATCTTTTGGAGCCGGCCCCTCCCGGACCCGACATTCCTGGCTTCCCCCCACCCCTCCGCAACCCCAACAGATTGTGGCATTGGCAGGGGCCCCTCCCCGGGGAGCGCCCGGATTGGCCACCAGTGGCCTGGGCAGAGACGCAGATCCTTCCGCGGCGGTCGGGCGCGCGAGGGGGGAGCGCGTGGGGTGTTTGTTCTCTTGGGGATTAATGGGGGGTTGTGGGGGAGGGGTAGGCGCGCTCTCGCATGCGCACTGCGGCCCCTCCTGTTGGCTCGTCGCTGTCCGCTGGGCGGGGGCCCGGCCCCGCCCCTCTCCCGTCCGGGCGGCGGCGGCGGCTACAGCGGCGGCTGCGGTGGTGGCGGCAGCGACGGCGGCGGCGGCGGCGGCGGCAGCAGCAGGCTGCGCGGTGCCTTCTGGGAACGGAATCCCCAGGGCTGCCCCTGGCCCCCATGGCGCATGCGCGGGAGGCCGCTCGGTGATCCGCGGCGGCGGCGGCGGCGGCGGTGCTTCCTGCTAGGACCGGCCGGGGCCGTACCGGAGGCTCGGGCTCCACCGACCCTCCTCCCACCCCCTCCCACTCACCCTCTGGGCCGCGACTGCGCAGGGCGGGGCCGGCCGAACCATGGGCCGCGGTGAGTGCGGGGCCCGGCCCCCCCACCCCGCCCCTCCCCCTCCCCTCCCGTCCCTCCCCTCTGCCCCCTCGGCGTCCTCTCGGCCCCTTTCCCCGGCCCCATCCCCACTCCCCCGCCCTCACCTGCCCCCGCCGTTCCTCCCTCTCACTGCCTGACTTGTGCCTTCCTCACCTCCCTCCCCTCTGTGTTTCGCCCACCCTCCGCCCGCCCTCTCCCCAAGTTCCTTCCTACTTCGTGCGCCTTCCCCTCCTCCCTGAGCTGAGGGAAGCCGACGGGGTGACAGGGCGCCTTGTTATGAGAGGGAAAGTTTGGAAACCGCCCGTGTGGCGTGTGAACGATGTGAGGCCGGGGAGGGGCCTTGCAGGTTGGAGGGGCGTCCGCACACATCCGGGGAGACCCGCTTGGGGGACTAATCTGATGCCGCTGGGGTGGGAGGCTTGAAGGAAAATTCGTAGTGGGTTGGGAACCTAGGAAAAGACCCAAATGCGCTACATCAGCGGGTGGCTGATGGAACCATCCCCGGAGGCGGGGTGGGTGCTTCTGCTGAGACCACCGCAGCGGGCAGTTGGGCCACTGCCTGGTGACCTGCTGAGTAGCCTGTGTTTGCTATATGATCTTTCTTGAGGAGGGAACAGTAGGGGCCAGACACTCTGGGAGTCATCTTAGTGGTCTGGCATCGTGGGAATTTGCCCATACTCCTAGCTGAAGTCTCTTGCCCCTAATGGGACAAAGAGGACCTTGCACTTGGAGTGGCTGGGCCCAGGGCTGCGGGTCAGAGACACTTAGCCTTTCGGGCCTGGACACTTGTGGCCTCCTCAGCCAGCAGTTCCTGAGATCTTAGGAGGTGTGACCTCATGGCGTCCAGGCCTCTTGTGAGCTGTGGGGCAGCCTCCTGACAGTCTGGTGGCACGTCTTGTGTTGCAGGTGTGGGCTAAGCTGGCGGCCCTGGCTTTGGACTGGACCCCACAATGTTTGCAGACATGTTCAGGTAGCCATGATGTGGCACGGTGGAGGGTCCCTCTCCATTCTCCTTCCAGTCACTCTTAGGGGATCCCCTTTGCCACTCTCTCCCTGGGGTACCCAGCTTGGTTGGGTTGTCTGCATGCTCACACGAATGTGTATATTACCAGGCACGCGGGAGCTGACTACACACAATGAATGGGGGCAATGAGAGCAGTGGAGCAGACAGAGCTGGGGGCCCTGGGGCCACATCTGTCCCCATTGGCTGGCAGCGCTGTGTGCGAGAGGGTGCTGTGCTCTATATCAGGTATGGCTCTCGCAACACCCCTCTCCCCCAGGCTCTGTCCCTGCAGCTGCCTGCAGTGCCTTGCCCCCTGTCACTCTCCTCTGCTTCATCTTCTTTCTTTCATCTGTGGGCTGTCTGTGGCCCATGGGCCTTGGGCTCCACCTTCCTCCTTTCTGCCGTTGCTAGGAAGGTCCTTAGTCTGGTGTCGGTCCCTCAGGAGGATCTGCTGATTCACTGTCCACTAACTTCAGGCCCCTGACCTTGTCTCCTCGCAGCCCAAGTGGCACAGAGCTGTCTTCCTTGGAGCAAACCCGGAGCTACCTCCTCAGCGATGGGACCTGCAAGTGCGGGCTGGAATGTCCACTCAACCTCCCCAAGGTCAGCAGAACTGCAGGGCTGCCCAGAGAGCACAGAGCTGAGCCAGAGGACTGCACGCAAGTGCCTGACCCTGCTGTGCCAGTCCTTCTCATGCTTCCACCCCTCCATGGCCCTGTCTGTGCCTTCTACCTTATAGGTTTTCAACTTTGACCCTTTGGCCCCGGTAACCCTGGGTGGGGCTGGGGTGGGGCCAGCATCCGAGGAGGACATGACCAAGCTGTGCAACCACCGGCGGAAAGCTGTTGCCATGGCAACCCTGTACCGCAGCATGGAGACCACCTGCTCACACTCTTCTCCTGGTGAGTGTTCTGCTACTTGGCTGAAGACTTGGGGCAACCCAGGGGCCCTGGGTGGTGGGGGGAGAGGGGAGCAGGGAACTCTGTAGAAGCCCAGGGAGAAGGGTGGGTGAGGGGCTCCTGGGGAAATGGAGAGTTTGGGAACTTGTGGGAGATGGGACTGGAAAAGCAAAAGAGTCAGAGAAGGGGTTCCTCCAGCTGATCCTGCATTTCTCTTCTATTGCAGGAGAGGGAACGAGCCCCCAGTTGTTCCACACTGTGTCCCCAGGGCCCCCCTCTGCCCACCCTCCCTGTCGAGTTGCAACGACTCCACTCAATGGAGCCCCTGGCTCCCTGCCCCCTGAACCACCTTCAGCTCCTCAGCCATTCCCCCCTCTAGCAGGCCCTGGGGGGCTCTTCCCGCCACCCCGGCTTCCTGACCCAGTACCCTCTGGGGGTAACAGCAGCCCCTGTTTTCTTCCCAGGGGCAATGCCCCTTCCCCAGCCCCACCACCTCCTCCTGCCATCAGCCTCAATGCCCCCTCCTACAACTGGGGGGCCTCCCTACGATCCAGCCTGGTGCCCTCCGACCTGGGCTCTCCCCCAGCCCCCCATGCCTCCTCCTCGCCACCTTCAGACCCTCCTCTTTTCCATTGTAGTGATGCCTTAACTCCCCCTTCCCTGCCCCCGAGCAATAATCTCCCCGGTCCCACTGGTCCCCTCTGTCCTGCCACTCAGCCACCAGTGTCTTCAGCCACTATGCACCTGCCCCTGGTCCTGGGACCGGCCCCCACGGTGGAGGGGCCTGGGGCACCCCCTTTCCTTGCTAGCAGCCTCCTCTGTGCAGCGGCCAAGGCACAGCAGCCCCTGTCCCCCCTTCCCAGCACTTTACAGGGCCGAAGGCCCCGTGCCCAGGTGCCCTCCACTTCCCATTCAGCATCGCCCCGTCCCTCTCAGCGTCGTCCCCGGCGCCCCCCTACTGTACTGCGATTGTTAGAAGGGGGAGGCCCTCAGACCCCTAGGCGAAGTCGCCCTAGGGCCCCTGCTCCTGTGCCCCAAGCCTTTCCTCTCCCAGAACCATCCCAGCCAATTCTCCCTTCCGTGCTGTCCCTGCTGGGACTCCCCACTCCTGGCCCTTCCCATTCTGATGGAAGCTTTAACCTTTTGGGGTCAGATGCACACCTTCCTCCTCCCCCAACCCTCTCCTCAGGGAGCTCCCCCCAGCCCAGGCACCCCATCCAGCCCTCCCTGCCTGGGACCACCAGTGGCAGCCTCAGCAGTGTGCCAGGTATGTGAGAGCAGCAGCAGTGTCAGGTGGGGCAGGGAGGTTGGGCCAGCTGGAGGATGGTGGATATGGCTTGGAGGGAATGCTGGGAGAAAAGGCCTCGTTAGAGCTTACTCTCTCTGTTCTTTAACAGGTCCCCCTGCCCCACCAGCTGCCTCCAAAGCCCCCGTGGTGCCCAGCCCTGTGCTTCAAAGCCCACCAGAAGGGCTGGGGTTGGGGGCAGGCCCGGCCTGCCCTCCACCACCTCTGGCTGGAGGGGAAGCTTTCCCCTTCCCCAGCCCTGAGCAGGGCCTGGCGCTGAGTGGAGCCGGCTTTCCTGGGGTGCTGGGGGCCTTGCCCCTCCCCCTGAGTCTGGGGCAGCCTCCGCCTTCTCCATTGCTCAGCCACAGTCTGTTTGGTGTGCTGGCGGGTGGAGGTGGCCAGCCTCCCCCTGAACCCCTGCTGCCCCCACCAGGGGGACCCGGTCCCCCTCTCGCCCCAGGCGAGCCGGAAGGGCCTTCGCTTCTGGTGGCCTCTTTGCTTCCACCACCCCCATCTGACCTTCTTCCACCCCCTTCAGCACCCCCTAGCAACCTGTTGGCCTCTTTCCTGCCCTTGCTGACCCTGGGCCCCCCAGCTGCGGATGGGGAGGGATCTGCAGAGGGAGCAGGGGGTCCGAGTGGGGAGCCATTTTCAGGTTTGGGAGACCTACCCCCCCTACTGTTCCCCCCACTTTCAGCACCCCCTACCCTCATAGCTTTAAATTCTGCGCTGCTGGCTGCCAGCCTGGATCCCTCCTCCGGGACACCCCCCCAGGTGAGGATGCTGCAGGCCAGTGGGTGGCACAGAACCAGAGGTGGGATCAAAAGTTGGGAGCTAGGAATCCAGGGCATTCAGTTTCCTGTCCAGCTCTTGTGGGGGCGGGGGGGGTGGTTTGAGGCACTTGGGGAGTTCCTGGCTGGGGTAATGTGGCTGCATGAACCTTGTCTGTGTTTAATAAACAGGGTCTTGCTTCCCAGAAGCTTCAGCTAGCTTGGGTATGTGGAAGCACCAGATAGAGACCCACAAACACTTGATTCATTTAAGTGCTCTGACCATTGTGTCTCCTTAGCCCTGTGTCCTGAGTGCCCCCCAACCTGGACCACCTACCTCCAGTGTCACCACGGCAACTACTGACCCGGGGGCCTCCTCTCTGGGCAAGGCCCCCTCCAACTCAGGGAGATCTCCCCAACTCCTTAGCCCTCTGCTGAGTGCCAGCCTGCTGGGTGAGTCTGAATGCCCTGGAGGTGAAAGGGCTATAGGAAAGATGGCGGGTGGAGGCAGAGAAGGCCTCTGCTGGAGGTGGGTGACCATCCGGGCAGTCTGCTGGGCTTGCCCAGGGCAACCCTGATGTCCCGGCTTCCTTGCAGGTGACCTGTCCTCACTCACCAGCAGCCCTGGACCCCTCCCCAGCCTGCTGCAGCCTCCTGGCCCCCTTCTCTCTGGCCAGCTGGGGCTGCAGCTCCTCCCTGGAGGGGGAGCTCCTCCACCCCTCCCAGAGACTTCTAGTCCCCTGGCCTGCCTGCTACAGAGTCTCCAGGTAAGGGTGTGGGTATGTAGTCACAGGGAGAGAACTGCTACCTTAGCCAGGAAGGAAGGCTGAGTTATCCAGGCACGGGGGCTGCCTTGGAGGCTGACCAAGCTCCTTATTTCTTTGCCAGCAGATTCCTCCAGAGCAGCCAGAAGCCCCCTGTCTGCCCTCTGAGAGCCCCACATCAGCCCTGGAACCAGAGCCTGCCCGGCCTCCCCTCAGTGCCTTAGCCCCACCCCACGGTTCTCCCGACCCCCCAGTCCCTGAGCTGCTCACTGGGAGGGGGTCAGGGAAACGGGGCCGGAGGGGAGGAGGGGGACTTAGGGGCATTAATGGTGAGGCCAGGCCAGGCCGGGGTCGAAAGCCTGGCAGCCGACGGGAGCCTGGCCGATTGGCCCTCAAATGGGGGACACGTGGTGGCTTCAATGGACAAATGGAACGGTCCCCACGAAGGACCAACCACTGGCAGCACAATGGGGAGCTGGCTGAAGGCGGGGGTGCTGAGCCCAAGGACCCACCCCCTCCGGGACCGCATTCTGAGGACCTGAAGGTGAGAGCTATACGATGGAACACTGGGCTCCAGGGCTTCGAGGGAAGGCTGGTCCTTGGCACCTTTTGCTAACTTGTCCCATACACACAGCCCATCCTTTCTCAGGTACCCCCAGGGATAGTCAGAAAGTCTCGTCGTGGCCGGAGGAGAAAATACAAGTGAGTGTTGTGCCCCCCACACTTTTTGCCTTTGCCTACTTGTTGGGATTAAGGATATAACCCCCCCTCCAAAAAAAATGTGGTTTGGTTTTCTAAAAGGGTGTATGTTTGTTTGAATATGAATAAGGATATTGTGCCTTTACTATTCAAATAGAGAAAGTTTCCCACCCAAACTCCTGCAAGTCTCCTGGTGCTTGGGGAGCTGTTCCTGATCATCTGTGCCCCCTTATTGCAGCCCTACCCGGAATAGCAATAGCTCCCGCCAGGACGTCACCTTGGAACCCAGCCCCACAACCAGAGTAAGTGTGTATGTGTACACATGCGTGGGGGTGTGTGGGGAGGGAGTTAGATAAGGGGTGAGGCAGGGGGCAAGGTGGTTACTAGGAGTGGGGAGAAAATAAAGGACTTCCTGACACCCAGCTGATTGGTCCCTTCTTTCAACTTCCCCTCTTGTATAGACGGCTGTCCCTCTGCCTCCCCGGGCCCGCCCTGGCCGTCCTGCCAAAAACAAGAGGAGGAAACTGGCCCCATAACAGCCATACCTGGAGCTGGATTTGACCCTGACTGGGGAGAGCTGAGTGCTGAGCCTTGGGAGCCCCTGCCAGCCACCTGCACCTGTGGACAGTGGGTGGGGGCACGACTCCCCACTCAGAGCACAAATGCAACCCCTTCTTCTACAATCCCATCCTGAGCCATTGCAGGGGGTAGGGAAGCTCCCCCTCGCCCCCAAAGCCATGTCACTGAAAAGGCCTGGGGGTGGTGTAAGACCCGTTCCCCACCAGGCGCTAAGGGGGACACCCCTTTCTCCAGGTCTTTTATTTGTTTTAAGTTATTTTTGCACAAATAATTCTTTTGTATTTAATTCGACTTCATTGCCTCCCTTGAAGCCAGCAGGCTCAGTTTACAAACCTGTGAGCTACTGTTGGCTGCTGCCCTCCTTCCCAGTGAAAGGTACAAAGCAATAAGCATCATGCATCCCCCGCTTCCCCCTCCAATGCCCTCTGCCTCTGGCTCAGGTTGCTCCAAGCACAGGCCCCTCTTCCCCGTCCCCAGGTTTGAAACACATGGCCTCATTTCAGGGTGTAGCCAGGTCCCCTCGACTTTCCTCTGGGACACGGAAAGGGGATAAGGGGGGGCAAAGAGCCCTCTGGGCCTCTCCTCCCGTACACACTACACTACCCCTTCTCCCCCATCAAAACGCTCAGAGACGTTGTGATGATGATGCGACTGAGGATTATGCAACGTGGTCCAACCGGAGCGGCCAGCACGACCAGCTGTCCAGGGGCTGCCTCCTGCCTTTTCTTTTGTAAAGACAAGACCCTTGGGAGTTTTAATTCTGTTTTGTACTTGCCCTGTGGGGCCTCCACTGCTTTTCTATGGGAGACACTTAATTTAACAGATGAGAATATTTTGAAACTCTGGCTCTGGCTCTGTATTCATTCTTTATTGAGTTCTTTGGTTGAGAACACATTACCACTTAACTCCTCCACTACAAAGGATGCAGATGGACAGCGGTGTGTTCCATGTCGCCTCTTGCCAAGGAAATAACGAAGGGCCACACAGAGTACAATAGCATTTAATGGTCAGAATCTCATGTACAGGATTACAGTCAGCCACAGAAGCTGCTGGAAGACAGGACTCCTGCCATCCCACATCAGGCCAAGTAGTACTGGACAGGAGATGGTGTGGAGCTGGGCCTGTGTCCTCAATCCTCTGAGCCCGTGGGGAGACCACCATTGAATACCCCCTCCCCCAGTTACCACTCTATTCATTAGGGGGAAGTATGTAGACCCCACATGCAAGAGCCCTCGCTCCCAGTGTTAAACAGAAAGGGGTTGCGAGAGTTGAAGTGAGGGGGAAATCCATGGGAGGTGTTAACAGTTCATAGGGGTTGGGCTTTCTGTTCTCCATCTGTCCAGGGTGCTCACTTCCCCAGCTTCTTCATCCGTTCGTCAATGCTAGCAAAGTTGCCCTCAACTGTGGCCAAGTTCTCACGCATGGTTGTCTGCACCTATAAGGGTGGTATAAAAGTTCTGTCAAGTCCAAGTGCTCATCTGTGGGCCCCAGAGAGGAGCACCTACATGGCTTTTCTAACTGCCACTAGGTGCCCATGGGCCCACCCCTTTGGGTCAGCCAGGCAGGCGGGACACACGAATTCCAGGCCTGATTCTGAGGCAGACAAGTTCTGAAAGTTCTTTCATCTGTTTCATATGAGAACCACAAAGGAATGTGGGCTTGGTTGAAAATTTTAGAAAAAGAAAATACACAAAATGTTTTATGAGATGTGTGTAAGAGAGAACATACATTTATATATACACATTCGTTTACTTTGATGGTTCTGTGATTCTGGTCTCTTGACTTTAACGTTCCCTCCAATACTGAGAATGGTGTCTACAATTGATACAGAACTTGTGTGCACTGCCAAAGGAATGAATGAAATTCGCCAGCATCATTTATCTTCATCTGTGTAACTCAGGGAGGGGGAAATTTCCAAGTGGAAAGATGGGAGGTTCATAGGTTAACAAGCTGGCAAAGACCTCATGAATATTGAGTGTGGAGACCCAAGCCAAGCGCCTGCCACACCAGCAGGCCACATAATGGGCTAAGGCAGGGCTTACAAACTGAAGCTAGGCAGCTTCGCTAAGATGTGCACGAAAAAGGCAAACGTTTGCTAGCGAGACACGCACCTGGGTCAGGAGGGTGGTATTGTCTTTGAGAGAACTGGCAATCATTTGCTGAGTGGTATCCAAGTGTGTCAGAAGCTGACCAAACTGCATGGCTACAAAGAAAAAACAAAAAGCTTTGCAATTAGAGTCAAGGCCCTGAGGGAGAAGAAATAGCTCCAATCCTCAGCACCCCTCGCAGCCTGACATCCAGCCTCCCACCTTGCTCATGCAGCTGCTTGATGCTGACGAGCCTCTGCACTAGTTCTGGGAGGGTTGAGGCGATGGGGCTCCAGCGCTGGATGGTTTCATACAGCTGGTGCACCTGCAGCAGTATGAGAGGGCCCAAAGGGCATGGCCAAGGCAGCCAGTGAAGGATGTCCCGATGGGGTGACTGACGCTGCCCCCACACCCCGAGTCAGTAAGGACTTTAAAGACAGGCCCCTGCAGATTTGAGGGAGGCAGCAGCAAGGGCTGTGGTGCCAGGATGGTGTCCTGACCTTGCTCTGTGTGTCTGCATCCTCTACAGAGGCTTTATGCTTGGCGATCTCATTCACTTTCCCCAGGACGCTCTGAAAGCACAGATTTTAAGGTTGATGCTCAGGGCTTCTGGGCTCTGACTCTTAAGCTATCCCCAGTCCAGTCTGCATTTTGCTTTCATACCTGTAGTCGAGCTTCTACTTGGTCCAAAACCGCAAGATCCAGGGCGCTCACCTTGGCCTGTAGCAGCTCTACAGTCTCCTGGAGGTGTGAGGTCAGGGGGACAAGCATAACGGGGGGAAGGGTCAAGACAAGGAGAGGCCTGCCACACTCCACCAGTGTTCATGGACCACTACAGACTCAGCAGTAATCCTCAAAGGAAATCTAGTACCCCCACATCTCTGGGTAAAATCCAAGTATCTGGTTTCTTCCCCACTTACCATCAGACAGGCTCCCTGCAAACCTGCAGAAAGGGGGTTCTAGGAGGAAAGGGAGGGAAGAAATCAGTGATCCTTAGGCTTGCCCATAATTCCCACTCTCTCCCATCATTCCTGCTTGGCACTAGAAACCCACTGGCTGAACTCCTTGGTGCGAGCCCTTTCCTGCCTCGGTCCCACCCCCCAGCTAATGCTACAGCCTTCAAGGCTCAGGGTGCAGGACCTGAGGCCCACACTAAAGCTAAGAGAACACCTGACCTGGGCATCCTGGTCACAGCGAACAGCGGCCTCCAGCTCAGTCAGGCGCCTCTCAAGTTCTGCAACCTTGGGGAAGAAAGGGGAAGATGGGCCATCTGCCTCCCCAAGGCCAACGCCAGGGTCCATGGAGGCTGCTGCTCACTACACCATCCCCCCAGCTCCACTCCCCTCCAACCCGAAGGACTCCTTTCCTGAAACACACCCCTGCCACCATCGAAGAAGCTTCCCTGAGCACAGACAGATGAGGGCAATGCAAAGTGGGACCTCAGGAGGAATGCAAGGCCCTCTCAACTGGCCCCACTCCAGCAGGAGGCCAGGCCTGCCTCCTGCAGCCGTCAGTGTCTTACTTTTGCAGTTTGAGAGAACTTGTCCTGCTCAGGCCGAGAATGGAGTTCGTAGGTGACAAGGCTGCTGTCTGTGGAGGTGCTGCTGGCCCCCTTGCTTCCAGAGCTCCCTTTGCTGTTCTTAGTGGCCTCCAGCTGTAGCAGCAGGCGCCTAGGGTAGGAGACCAAGTAAGGATAACCCTGGCAGATGGGGACCAGTGGGAATCCCTTCTGATAGGCAAGGTGAGGGAACAGCCAGGTTCCCTCCCCTCTCAAGTCCCCTGCCCATGGCTGGCTGGGTCACTCCACGACCCCTATGGGCAGTGATTTTTTCCCAACACAAGTGGGCACCCACTTTGCCAGGGCTCCATCAGGGTCAGTAAGGTTGATTGCAGCATCTGGTCCCAGCAGCTTCTCCAGGTGGGAGGCAACCAGCTGCTGTTTCAGGGCTGCCAGCTGTTTGGCCAGGACCACGGGGGTCAGCTTCTCCTCTGTGGCTGACTCCTTCACTGTGGTCTGGCATGAAAAGAGGCAGACAGTGAAGGAAGCAAGAGTGAATTGGGAAAAGAAGAAATGGATCGAGACCCTCTGACAGAGTGGTGGAGGGGAGTCACTGGCATAGTCTTTGCACGGGAGCCTGCCTGCCTGCCATACTCAGTGTAGACTCCTGTGTATTCCCCAACTCCAGAAATGTTGGCCCCCTCCTCCAGGAGCTCAGGGAGTTTCTGGTTCTGGCTGGGACTGTGTGTGGTGGGGAAAGCCCGGCAGGCCACACTGGGCACAGCACAGAGTGGACAGTTACCTTGATCTTCTCCACTTCCGCTGTCAGCTCCTGGACCTCATGCAGGAGCCGCTGATACTTCTGCTGGGGTGTCTCCTTCACTCCCAGGCCCTCTCCAAGCTAGAGGAAGGATAGAGTCATGTCATGGCTCTCTTCACAGAGCCCTCAGGGTCTCCTCTGCACCCTGGAGCCCCCTCCTTGGAGGCTGACACCCATGCCCATCAGCACCCATGCTACAAACCATCTCATATTCTCCAGACTCATAGCCTGTCCTCTTGGTTTTCCCAATACGATCTGAGAAATCTGTCAAGAAAAAGAGACACCTGAGCTGGCTAGGCCTGCCAATGATGGGGAGGACTCCCACCAAAATCTCCAAGGTGGTGGTTGGGGGAAACCTTTTCTCAGCATCCAAGGCAACATGCCCCAAGGACAGAAGTCCTCCAGCCCGCTCACACCCCCAACCCTGACTTCCAGCCCAGTCTCACCGAGCCCCTTTGTCCCCACTCTCTTGTCCTTGAACTTGTCATAGGCGGCATTGGGATTAACGATGATGTGTTCCACACTTGTGCTTGTCAGTTCCTCCTGCAGGAACAGGTAGTTCAGGCCACGGGTGAACTCATCCCACCCCTTTCTCTGAACCTTTAGGAGACCAGGCTCAGTTTTTCTAAGGGAAAAGGGTGGCAACATTCTAAGGTGCCAACCCAGGCTCAGCCTAGGAAACTGAAGCTTCCTGGTAAATTTGGAGCCTCAGTTGTATAAATATTAACACCCTGATTCAAGCTGGAACAGAGGCAGCATAACCTCCCCACCCACTCTGTACATAAACCTTCCCCCATCCCCTCCCAGCTGGCGGGCACACACCATGCAGTCAAGGCAAGAAACCATCCTGACCTCTTGTTACCTCCCCTTCCCAAAAGTCAGTCTTCATGCCTGCTGAACAAATCTGTTTTACAGCTTGCCTTCTGTCCTTGCTGGAGGGGAAAGAAGGCAGGCAGACAGGCCACTAGTTCTGAGGGTGACTAACAGGGCTTTAAACCTGCTGAAGGGAAGGCCCCAGCTCGGATACAGAAGGCCTGACTAGAGGCCTGGCTTCCACACTGCCGTGAAGCTGGAGAACTTAGCAGTGAGGAAAAGGCCAGGGTTTCCTGAATTTCTTAAGGGAAGTCTTAGGAGCCACGACTGCAGATGACATCTGCTGGCCCAGAGAACTCCTGGTTAGGCATTATACTGGAGTCAGCCTAGCTCCTCTTTACAGAGCAGCTGCTACACCTGCTTTTTCTCCCAGCCTCTGCTGGGCATTTAGCCCAGAAGCTCCTCTACACACAGAGCACAGAATCAAAAGACTGTAGCCTATAACCCGCAGCCAAGTGGTCCTACTCCTTAGCAAACGTTCAAGCATAGACCTCTGTGGGAAAAGGTGAATGGATTTTCCTTCCTGCACCTTGGACAATGGCTCATACCTCCAGCAACACGTTGGAA